CGCGGGCCCTCTGCCGCCAATTGGAACCGCAGGGCCTCTCGGGCCCGAGTGGACCCTAAACCCTATAACAGACACGTGCCCCCTCGCCCCTAGCTATACCATTGAATCCAAGTGATCAGGGGCCATTCAGGTGATCAGGGGCCTCTCAGGTGACCAGGGGGCCTTTCAATTGACCAGGGGCCCACCAGGTGACCAGGGGACCCTTTGATGACCAGGGGCCGGTTATACCAGGGCTCCACGGGTAACTAAGGGCCTTCATGTGACTGCAGGGGCCCTTCATATAACCAGGTACTCCCCGGGTAAACATGGGCCCCTCAGGTGACCAGGGTTTCTTCAGGTCACTGTCCAGGGGCCACCCAAGGGATCAGGGGCCCCTCAGGTAGCTAGGGGCCCCTTAGATAGCCAGGGGCCCCTCATATACCCAGAGGCCCCTCTGGTAACCAGGGGCCTCTCAGATAACCAGCGGCTCTCAGGCAATCACGGGCCCCTTAGGTAATCAGGGGCCATTCAGATAACCAAGGGCCCCTCAGGTGGGGCCCCTCAGATAACCAGGGTCCCTCAGACAGCCAGGGCCCCTCAGACAACCAGGGGTCCCTTAGATAACCAGGGGCCGCTTAGGTAACCAGGGACCCTTCAGATAACCAGGGGCCCCTCAGGTGACTGGGGGGACCCTCAGGTAACACTGGGTCCCTCAGGGCCCCCGTGGCCCCCCTTAGGTACCTACGTCACTGCACTCAAGTGACCCAAAGGGCCCACTTGCATGCTTGATGCCAAAGGGGGAGGCCATGGCCCAGGGCCTATTTTAACATGTTAACTGGGGTGGCAAAACCCACCCCAGTGCAAAACAGCCCAAAAGTCTGCCCACAGATATTGGCTGCCGACAATCACGGAGGCGACACATTCTTGGGGCGAACTCAGCTTGACAGGGGGAAAAGGGCTCACTGAGGCGCCACCACCACCAATGGGATGCCCTCTCACTACTGGGGGCGCCCTGCCGCAACTGTGGCGCCCTACTTTTTTTATAAATTTAGCTTGAATGTTTGAATGGACGGATTGACAGAGCCGGAGCCCACGCTAAGCAGAGCTTGTTGCGTAGACCCCGACCCCTACCGTCTGATCGCGCAATTCCGGGTAACGGAATAATTTAGATGCCTAAGTTTAACGTGCCCTTCAAAGCCGGACACAACCTGTCCCACTCAACTGACTTCAACTGGCTGCGGCTGCTCCCACCAACCGCAGACCATCCCCGTCAGGAGTCTCAAATATCGAGCACCGGACCGACTCGAACCCGGGCTCTCACTACCGGGAGTCCGGTGCTCTACCAACTGAGCTATGGGACTCTCTAATTCGATTGGGACACACTACCGGCAATGGGGCGCCCTACCAGCACTTGGGCGCCTACCACGACTGAAGAGCCCTATCAACATTCGGGCGCCCAGACACGATTGGGGCGCCACACCACTACTGGGGCGCCAACTGCACCTTTGGGAGCCCTATCAGTATCGGCCGCAAAATTAAATTTGTCATGTGGCTATGAGACAGGCCGTGTGATCAACAATGGATTTTCAAACGCACGTGCACGCATTGCTTCTGACGAGGGTATTTCCAAGAGAAAAATCTGGCGGGCGGCGGTTTAACCCGCGCCCCACTGGGGGTCCTGGATTTCCACGCCCTGCTGGGGGGGGGGGGGCGGGGATTTGAACACCCCCCTTCTAAGTCGGCTCCTGGGCCAAGTAGCGACACGCGGTAAGCGGCATCCGAAAGGACGTCAAAAACCATGACGAAAATACCCACTTGTTATTTTTTTAGGTCAGGTCAAAGGTCAGGTCACCAAAGGTCATCAAAGGTCAAATTTTGTTATTTCAACATTTTTCGAAACTGCCGACGGACAACTCGGGAACCAATAGAGCTACAGCGCCGCGGAAAAGCGCAATCGATAGCTCTTTTACAGGGCTTTCTGAATAATGTTCTCAGGTTTGACCTCAGGTCAACGGTTTAGCCTCCAGAGTGCAAAAACTTCGTTTTCTTCAATAACTTTTGACTCAAGAGAGACACGACAGTATTTTTGCCAGCATGGTGTTCCTCTCGTCTAGACGCGTCGAATGAACTATAATTTGACCTTGAAAGGTCAACTTGAAAATTTGACTACAGGTCAAGGTAATGACCTGACCGGAAAAGGTCGTGCTGCATATCAGTCGATCCGCAACGTCGAGCCGAACACATCTAAGGCGTTTTCATCGCTCTAGCTTGCCTCTATCAGAAGTTATTAGCGAAAAACTGTTAGATACCATTCGTGACCTGATATGACCTCGGGGGCATAACGAGGGGTCACGGGTGCCATTTTCTGGTTCAGCGTGTCATGTTAACTCGTAATTTAGTGTTTGAAAATGTTTAGAATGGCGTTCGTCTAAAAGAGGCGCTTTTCAATTTTCTCCCATTGACTTATACCTAATGGAGAGGTCGAAAAATTGACCTGACCTTAGGTCATCGATATCGAAATTTCAAGATAAAGTGACCTCGAGTGACGCCGGCTGCTTGGTATGGGAAGGTGTTTATCATGGACGGATCGGGGGGGGGGGGGATTTGAGGGCCATCGGCATAAGCAGTAAAAGTTCTCTGACGAAAGGGGGTTGCACCATGCACAGCCGACTTTTGGCTTAATTCTTTCCATGCATCGCCCGAAAGGGCTATGTTAGAAAAAAAACTATGCCAACAAAGGCCTCCAGACACTTTCCCGAAACGTTAGTCCTTACGTACTACCGTCACAAAGAAAAGATTCTGAGACTCGATTGCGACGCCCCCCCCCCCATCGAAATGCTGCGCACAGCAGTATTTCGGTGGGGGGGGGGGCGCCAACACAAGAGACAGGGGCGCCACCACTGCCTGGCCACCCCAGTCCAATTGTCTTAAAATAGGCCCTGCATGGCCTCTTGGCCTCCCCCCTGGATACGCCACTGGCTCCCCAACGGGTCGCGAGTTAAACCTCTTTTCAAAGATGTTCTAGCAGGTCCCTATTTTCCTGACATTGGGGTCATTGACTTGGCCTGTAAGGTCAACCAATGACCTAAACATTATAATTAGATAGCATCGGTTTCATCCTGTCACGGACAGCATGCTCAAGTATTCCGCGTAGTACGGGTTTTCCACGTATACGGATAGCTTGATCACGGAGGCACGGACCCACCCCTACTCATAAAATGCTAGACAGTACCTATGAAAAGGCACGACTCATAAACTCACCCCTACTCATAAAATGCTAGACAGTACCTATGAAAAGAGGCTCAGCGGCCCAGCGAGCTACACCAGCGGACCCCGGCCGCTGAACAGCGGCGGCGGCCGGGTTGAACGACCACAGACAACCGTCGGCCGCCAACTGCAGCAGCGAAAGATTCCCCATCCTCCAAACCATTCCTTTCATCGTGACGCTTAAACATTCACAAACCCCATCCCTCCCAGCGACATATCCCCCACTCTTCAAACCATTCCTGTCATCCAACTCTCGTAACCTTACCATTCACAAACTTCCTCCTTCCCTCCTTCACAAACATCAATTTACCGGTAAGTTTCACTGTCATTTATGTGTCTTAACGTAAATTCATGGGTTTTTTCCCATATTCATGGCATAGTACATGGATATGGGTTTTCCCATGTTGTCTTGCTGTAAAAGTGGCCACCGGTCTTAGTTAGGACGGCCGGTTTGTATTGCGCGGCGTAGTTAGGTCGCCGCCCTCCTCGCGAGGCCGGTAACGTAAGTTAGGGCCACTAAAAAAAAAAAAAAACTATGAAAAGGGCAACGCAGACCAGAGTCAGTAATGGTAATGAGATGTCATGTGAACTTCGAGCATCCGATTACATTACATCCCAATGTTGTACACATGTTTTTTATCATCACAACCGTTACTAACTGATGTGTTCCGAGCGCTGTATTTCCTTACCTTACCTTACCTTACCTTATCGGTTATCGGGTAATAAGGCCACTAGGCCTGGAGGTCCCGCTCCCATCGAGCGTGTGTGACAGGTAAAGGCGAGGCTCTTAATGGTAGGGATTCGGGATGTCGTACATCCTGTTCGCCCAGTGTCGGTCCAGTCGTGCCTTGAACTGAACAACCGATGTGGCAGACACTACTGTGGACGGCAGGGCGTTCCAGTCGTTGACGACTCTTGTGCTGAGGGCGTTTCTTCGTGTCAGGGTGTTCGCTCTGGGCTTGAGCAGTTTCCACTGGTGGCCTCTTGTTTGGTTGGAGGTGCTCTTGTGCAGGAACCGTTCGGGTTCCACTGCCATCTCGCCGTGCAGCAGCTGAAAGACGGTGATCATGTCGCCTCTGCGTCGTCGGTAGTACAGCGAGGGGAGGCGAAGATGACGTAGTCGGTCCGGGTACGGGAGATGCCGGATGCTCAGAACCATCCGGGTTGCCCTGCGCTGCACCCGCTCCAGTTTTGCCTGGTCAACTCTGCCAAAGGGTCCCCAGATCAGGTTCCCATACTCCAGAAAAGGTCGGACCATGGACTTGTAGAGCAGAGGGAGAGTGACCTCATTGATGGTAGCGAATGAGCGCTTCACGACAGCCAGCATCTGGGAGGCTTTCGCGATGGCAGCCGCTGTTTGCTGGTGAAACTTCAGGTCTTCGTCGATGATGATGCCCAGGTCCATTTCAAACGGATGCGCATATTTTCATTAACATCTGTGTGGCGAAAGACATAGTGAATATCTATGTTGTATTAGATACTGATACAGGCAACATCAGCATGTGTTAGCGCTTACTCAGCAATTACCAATGAATCGCTGTGGTCTGTAGACGAGAAACCCACAGATCTGATGATGGGTTCGGAGGAAATGCTATTGTCTAATGCTGAGGACCGTTACCAGGGTCTCCAAAGGGTGGAATATAACCTGGTCCACACATCACAAACAGGTTGACCCACACAACTAGCCCAATTAACGCTATTAGCTCCTTAGGTTAGCGCAGGACGACTACCAAACGACACAGAGCCGGCACAATCAGAGGCGTATCAGTGACCTTCCGGGGGAGGTGCCCCGCCCCGGCCACTATAAAAGGGAAAGTGCCGACGGACTGTCATCACTCCCCAGCTGACCAGCTCCAGTCACACACACCGGCTCCCAACCAACAGAATGAAGGCCTTCATTGTCGCCGCCCTCCTGGCCGTCGCTGCCGCCGACAAGCTGCCCGCTGCCTACAGGACTCCGGTTGCCTACAGGGCCCCGGCTGCCTACGAGGCCCCGGCTGCCTACAAGGAGCCCGAGTACGAGCCGTCCCCGTACGCGTTCGACTACTCGGTCAGCGACTACGAGACGGGCTCCAAGTTTGCCGCCAACGAGAACAGCGACGGCAAGCAGACGTCCGGCTACTACACGGTGGCTCTGCCCGACGGCCGCATCCAGACGGTCAAGTACACCGTCGACGACTACGCCGGCTACAACGCCGAGGTCACGTACGAGGGCGAGGCCCAGTACCCCGAGGAGCCCGTCTACAAGGCCGCTCCGGCTCCGGCTCCCGTCTACAAGGCTGCTCCCGTCTACCAGGAGCCTGAGCAGGAGCCCATCTACGCCTACCGCCCCGTCCAGAAGTACAACAACTAAGTCGTCTCCATGATCTCAGTTTACGTGCTCCCACTTTTTGATATATGCTTGCTATTGGTGATGCTGGCGTGATTAATTTGATAGCATTTTGCTACCATTTAATATTGTTTATTGTTCCAATGTTTGCCCGTATGTAAAAAATAAATTATGAACCTATGTTATGCACACGTTTGCATTGTTACCGAGCCACTGCTTCGGTTATTGCGTGTCGATAACCAAAACATGCGTAGGGGAGAGTGGGGTGGGTTGTATCAGTTTTTACTCCGAGACCCATAACCTCGTAACTATCCGTGATAAACTCATTATTTCCATACCATCCCCTTCCAATTGATTCTTCTGTTTTTTTTTGTGCAAAGTAACTTTTCCGCTACCTCTACCAGTTTTTCTTCCACGGTCTGCCGAATAGAACAATGTTTTTGATACAACTTGCCCCATGGCTTGGGTTGGGTGAGTTGTATCACATGGTGGGGTAGGGTAGCCTGGGGCAAGACGCCCCAGATAATTTATTTTGCTACATTACTTCTGTCCCACATCACCTGGAAGGCTAAATTTGTGCTCAATGCGTTCTTTGAACATTTTACTTCAAATTCCACCCCTCAAATTCATTCACTTATGATCGGACTCCTAGCTAGGAAGTGATTTGTGAAGCAACTGCAAATGGGGCATTTTGCCCCAACCCCAGGGCAAAACGCCCCACGGCCTGGGGCAAGAAGCCCCATACTCTAGATCAAAGATTAAACATGCTAGTTGACTTAAATCTTATATGAGAGGTCTGTTAGACCTTGGGAAGCACGGCACTGAAGTTAGCTCCTTCCATCCTATCAGGTGTTCAGCTATGACACTATTGTATGAGCAGGTTTTTCACCTGCCTCATAAGGCCAAATAATAAATTATTGCAATGGAAATTTTAACAAAATACTTCCTTAACCATCCAGTTGCTGAGAAAAGTACATATAAATGCATAGAAACTTACTGTTAGCCAGCTACCAAACATTAGGAAGTGGGTAGTCCGAACAACACATGAGGTAAAACGCCCCATGGGGCGTTTTGCCCCGCGACCTACTGGGGCGTTTTACCCCATCGCGTAGTTCGGTCAGAGAACAACGCCTTGCACTCCAGCAAGGCATAATTCAACACGAACCAACCCGGCATTATAAGCGTTAGATAAAGTTGTTCAAAATACATAAAAGTCGTTAACCTGACGTGGACCATAAAAGAACGCCATGATGCATAAGCTGACAACAAAACATAAAAATCACTCCAAAAACACATTTTTGGCTATATCTCCCTAAAGAGTCATCACAATTTCTTTCCAGTCTGCTCATATAATGATCATATAGTGCACGTTTTATAGAAGAGATGATGTGTCTCCAGAACCTTGCCAGTTCCGAGAAACATCGGTGAGGCGTTTTACCTCGGCGGGGCGACTTGCCCCGGTCTACCCTAATTTGTATCACTATTTCACGTTTCAGGGAGTGTGCTTGCTACTGGTTTTGAACATAACAACAACATTAAATGGGGTTAATACAATGTATAGGTATGCTCAAAGGCTTCACTTTTATTAGACCAAACTTAGGTCAATGCAATCCGAACGAAACATCAACTAGACGCAAAAGTGGCCCGTTAAGAGCAAAGAAGCCAACACATTGTGCCGAAATGGAACGAGCATTGACTAGCTACCTACAAACGCGAGCCAGGGCTTAGCTTTCCCGATCAAAAGCAGCATACCCATACATACATACATACATACATACATGCTACAACATACCCCACCCGGCTCTGATACAACATGTACCTAGCCGCCATCTTGGAAAAAACATCTTCGTGCTAAAAAACAGCGGACAGCTGGAGAAATCCGTTTTCACTCACGCAGCCTTAGAACCTACCTCACCACCGCTACGGAGATCTTTCAAATTCGTGCACATCTTAATGTCCAAAACACACATTTTCTTGCAACTTATTTTTTTAGAATGACATTAAAAAAAAAACATAAAATCGGCTCTCACCTCGAGACGCGTCCACTCAGCCACAAGACAGAACAGGGAAAGATGGCGCCCGGAAAACCTCGTCGGCTGGTCGTGTCACGAGCGCCATCCATTGGATAAGTTTGGCACAATTCGCCCTGATACAACTTGGACATGATACAACTTTCACCGCTCTCCCCTATTGGGGCCAAATATTATCCCATCATCGTCTAAAGGGTAGAAGAGGGGATTCAGGCCCCTCTGTTTTTCTTTGGCACTATATGAGCTTTGAAAGACAGCAGCGTGGAACTTCACATTTCGTTGTTTACATTAATTTTGCGAATTGTGTGAAAGTTGTATGCCTTTGGATAAAATCCTATGAGATATACTTATTTCAATGACCTAACTAAACGACAATGTTCCTAAAATTGTTTGCTTTTAAAGTTAAAAAAGAAGATTTACATAGGCGTAGGAACGTTTTCGAAAGTGGGGGGGCCAAGGTCCCAGAGGTCCAAAACCTAACCTACCCCCAAAATCCGATTTCTCCTCGGATTTCGGCCACTTTGTTTTCGCAAACATGATCAGAGATAAAAAAAATCGAGACAAAAACAAAAACAAAATTGGTTAAAATTTCAGGGAGACTCCCGTCCATAAACTCAAACTGATGGACGCGTTCCCCTGTCCTCCGCAGCCGTTGGCACCCACGCAAATTCCAGAGGCATCCAGCAACTTTTTCATTACGAGCAAGCGTGAAACGTGCAAAGCGAGTCTTTTCAATATACCTATAAAAATCAGCATGAACGGCCCAGCTAGGCTCAGCCAGACCTATAACGTTTTTAAGAGGTTTTATATCAGCGACCACTGCAACTGGGCTGATTGACTATCAGAGGCCGGTGTGGGACTTTAAGAGGTCAGTCTGGGCCATCAGAGGCCAGTTTAACCCTCGCCGAACCGGACCTATAGGTTTTCTACATACGCGCCGGCCGAGGGGGCGGGGGCCGGGTACGACCCCCCTCGCCGTTGCGCCCCAGGTTGAGCTAGCGCGTCGCGGAAAAACGAGCGTGTGCGCCGTTACAAGACGCAGAGATCGATACCCGATTTTAAGGTTCTAGGTCAACCGGTGACCTCTGAGGTCAGGTCAAGTGCCTCAAGGCACGGTTCCGTTTTTGGTGAATAACTTCGCAAAAAACGGCCGCAGAGCCGCGATTTTGCCAGCATCGTGTTCGCCTCTCTCAGGCGTGTCGAATGGTGTACTTTTTGTTTGGGTGAGGTAAACTGAGGGTGTTGACCACGGGTCACGGTCAGGTCAGCGCCCCCAGGTCACGAAATTGGTCGAAGGAGGTCATGTCGCATATCATTCGATTCGGCAGGTCTTCCTGAGTCCATTGATGGCTTCCCCGACTCGCTAGCTCAATTTGATCGGTAGTTATTGACGACAAACTTATATGACCCTTATAACTTCATAAATGACGTCGCGCAAGGTCAACATTGCAAAAGTGACGCATCGAAGCTTGCAAGGAGTGCATGAAAGATTCAGTGTGCTTGAGATAGTTGAAGATCGTTTACGGCGCCAGAAAAAGTTTTCAGTTTATCCCCATTGACTTATACCTAATGGTGAGGTCACGAAAATGACCTTAGGAAAAATCCGAGATGTACAAGTTGTGCGACTCCTAATGGATACTAGGTCCTCTAAGGTTCATTTCCCTGTAAGGTTCATTTCCCTTCATTTCCTCTGGCAGTGAGGGCGTTGCGAAGTTGCGACATCTGAAGACCGTGCAGAGGTTCACTTATGACCTCATGGGTCAGTGACCTGATCTGACCCGACAATGCGGTTGGTGTCAAAAGATCCGGCTTGATTCAAAGGTCAGGTATGCAAAGCTTCAGCTCTCTATCACCGGCGTGTTCGGAGCTATCGCGAAAAAAAAACTATGGAGGGGCGGCACCCGCCCCCCCCCCCATCGAGCGGTGAGGGTTGAGGCCCTCAGAGACCAGTACAGGGCCTGCAAAGGGCAGGATGAGACATTTAGATGCCGACTTGGGCCATCAGAGGCTAATGTGGGCCCTTACAGGCCAGCATGGGCCCTCAGAGGTCAGTGTGGGACCCTAAAATGCCGGCATGGGCCGGTGTTGGACCCCAGAGGCCAGCAGAAGGCCCTCAAAAACCAAGATGGGCCTCAGAGGCCAGCATCGGGTCTTCAGAATCCAGTGCAAGGCCCTCAGAGGCTAATGCGGGTCCTTACAGGCCAGCATGGGCCCTTAGAGGTCAGTGTGGGGCCGTAACAGACCGGCATGGGCGGGACCTGGAACCTAGAGACCAGCGGAAGGCCCTCATAGGCCAAGGTGGGCCCTCAGAGGCCGATGCGGACCCTTAGAGACCGGCATAGGATCTTCAGAATCCAGTGCGGGGCCCTTAGAGGTCAATCTGGGACCCTAAAATACCAGCATGGGCCGGTGTTGGACCTCTAAGGCCAAGATGGACCCTCAGAGGCCGATGCGGACCTTAGAGGCCGGCATCGGGTCTTCAGAAATCAGAATTCAGTGCAGGACCCTCAGAGGCACCTAAAGGTTAGTCTTGGGACCCCAGAGACAGAAATGAGGCCACCAGAGGCCGGTGTGAGGCCCTCAGACGCCGACTGGGCCCTTGAGGCCGGTTTAGGGGCCCTCAAATGAGGTCAATGTGGGTTCTCAGCGGTCAATGTTGGCGCTTGACCGCCACTGAAGTGCCCTCCAAGATCAGTGTAGGACCCTCAAAGACTGGCTTGGGAGCTGTTAATAGCTAGCGTGGGATTCTTGAGCCTCGTGACAATCGAATAACGGCCAGAGCCCCATACGCCCATGGGGGCCCATTGGTTGTTTGGGGGGGGGGGGGGGCAAATGATATGATGGCACCCTGATTAGCCTTTGGAGGGGGGAAGGGCATGGCCCTGATCCCCCCTCTGCGACCGCCACTGCACTGAAAGTGGAAGGGAAGGGGCAGATACAGACATTGCTGGCCCCCAGCCTGTTTGAGCCGAGGCGGGGACATGGTCACCCTGGCCCCCAGCTAGTACGCCTTTGACGAACTAATACCTTTTCAGTGCTCGCTGTCCCGTGCCTCGTATTCAACAAAATGCTGTCACCAGGACCCACAGTCTTGTCTCTGATATGGTTTCCTTCATTGAGTGAAGGAAATTGCGGTCAATAACGCTGTAGAAACAAAAGGGAATCTTCATTAAAGGGCAAGCTGAATTGTTGTCAAGTTACCGGGTGGTAGCACTGGTAAGTACCTAGGTACAGACAGACACTTAAGTCAGCAAAAAGTGGGGGGGGGGCAGTTAACATTGCTGGCCCCCCCACCTCCAAAAGTGGGGGGGCCATGGCCCCCCCGGCCCCCCCTGTTCCTACGCCTATGAAGATTTATTTGACAAAGTCATGAAATCATTTATCTTAAAATTAAAAAAAAATATGTTAGCGAGAATTAAATTTAGTTACAATCAGACTTGCTATAAATTTAAACTTCTTAAGTTCAATGGATCAATAATAACGTCAAGGGATCAATCAATCATCTTTAATATATCAGTGACAATGACATTTCAAACAATTCGATCTCAGCTTAGGTAAGTAACATGTTATTTCTGCATGTCTGCTATTTTTTTGTGGTTACTTTCGTTGAGTTTCGGGTAGAAGCTGCTGACGTTTAACGTTACTTTAACCCGAAAGTTGACCTCATTCTTGAAAAATTGAAATACTAAGAATGTTTTGGAAAGGGGTCGCGGAGAGCTTTCGAACGCTGACTCGAGGGGTCCGACAGGACCATTGTTTCTTGATATAGCAGGGGAGAAGGGGGAGGGGTCTGACCCCTCCCCAGGCGGCATTGGTCATGGAAATAGCCCAGGCGGTGCCGGGTTCATCAGTAATTTTAAGTAAGGTTTCATATATTATAAACCTGCAAGCAGGTTACCAAGCAAGACGGATATACAGCGCACCACAGTCGCCGCTGGGCTTGGTTATATTTGATTGAGCTTCATGATGCTTCGTGCTGCTGAACGTTCCGTTCAGTGGCACACATCGGCCTGACAGTGGCCTGACCTCCTCGGGCGCTCCGAGAGGTATCGGCTCACTACAGGGATATCACTAACCGAATGTGTTGATGCAGCGCACCAGGAGGACTAGTAGGCACTGTGAGACTGGCACGATAACATGGGCCGGCCGCCTTACTGACCAACAGCCGTTTTCACGACGGGTTACCTGGCGAATGCACCAGCTTTGACCAAATCTGCACCAAATCTGTTTTACACCGAAAATCTTTATATCATGAATTCCATTCAGTGTTCTGATCGAAAATACTATGTCTGATAATTTGAAAAATTAAGCAGGTCCCAGAAGTCTTGAAGCTTTTTTATTTTTGTCGTGTGACCTTGCTATGCCACCGATTAAGGCGAATCATGCCTCAAACGAAAGAGAATGAACTGAAATTTTGTATTTTCATGCGTAGAGCACCACTTTAGTCAGGTGGCCCCCGTTGTGAGTCGTACAAGAACGAGCGCGAGAGATCACGTCTTTCGCTGCCGCCAAGATCTCTTGGTTTGCGAAACACCGGTGTCGCCATGCCCGTTTCTTGTCAGCTTCAGAGTCTTATTCCCTGAAGCGAGCGACATAATATTAGCGACATATATTTGCGACGGGGTGATATTTGTTTTAGCACCATAATAATGCGATGAATCAAAGGATTACAACGGGCTGTTGCTTAGCGCGCTCAAGCAGCTGAGCCTTATTTTCGTAATGGATGCGTGCAAACATGTCAGGAGACTTTCTGATCAGTAAATCATTATGTTGCTAATGCTTTCTCGGAGATCCAATGCTCTGTTTCCTGGCTCGCTTCATGAATTAAGGCTCTGAAGCTGACCAGAAACGGGCATGGCGACACCGGTGTTTCGCAAACCGGGAGATCTTGGCGGCAGCGAAGAACGTGATCTCTCGTGCTCAATCTTGTGCGACTCACAACGGGGGCCACCTGACTTTGGTGGTGCTCTAGGCATGAAAATACAAAACTTCAGTTCATTCTCTTTCGTTTGAGGCGTCATTTGCCTTAATCAGTGGCATAACAAGGTCACACGACAAAAATAAAAAAGCTTCAAGACTTCTGGGACACCCTGTACTAAGAAACACAGTGAACCTGATTTTATCTGAACCAAATCTGCATGAAATATGATGACCAAATGTGTACCGGATGATTCCCATACGAATGAGCTAGCCACAAAAGAGCTAGCTCATTTGGGCTAGTGCCACAAAATAGCTAGTGCGATTGTAACTAGTCCCACAAAACAGCTAGGAGCAAAATGACAATTGTTGTAGAGGGCTAGGTAGATCGGCTCACGCCGTACCTCTTCGGGATTTTATAAGCAAAGTTCAGTTCAGATCAGATCGGTCACTAAAAAGGTCGTAATATTGAAAAAGACAGAAGCATACGACTCAGATTTTATTCTCAAACGTTCATCGAAATGTCGTATCCAACTCCGCGAAGAAACTCCTGCATGTCTATGATGTCTTCTGTGAGACGGCGAATGAGGACCTTAACCCTCGCCCGCACATGCCATTTTCCCATCCTAGAACGCACATGGGGGGGGGGGGTGGTTGCCACCCCCCCCCGCGCCATTTCGTTCCTGTTGGAGATAGAGCTTAGCGGTAAAGACCAAAAAGATTCTTTGGGAAGAGACGAATCCAATGATACCCAGTTTTACCTTCTCAGGTCAGTCATTGACCTTCCAGGTCAGGTCAAACTAAAAAATGTTGCTGTTTTGGGTCACCGTTGGATATCAAGTGCGCTGCTTAACAAATACCGATGACGATGCTGTTTTCTGGTGCCAGGCCAGCTAGAACCTCTTTGTCACACTACCCGACCAGAATTTTGCGGCTGAGGTCATTTCAGGTCAAGTTAGGTCAAGGTCAATTATATGTGTTTGTATGTCTGTGTGTGTCTGTGTGCATACTGATGTGTGCACCGATTGTTTTTGGGTCCATATTACATGAAATCATGCTCTGAGAAGCTTTTACCAAAAATGCAGTCAAAAAAAATCAAAAAAAGTAAATTCAGCTTGCCTAAAACGCAATTATCTTAGATGACCTAGGTTGACCTTGACCCTGACCTTGACCCCTGTACCTCGTCGAACAACATGTTCCATGATAGGTGGGAGGTAATACTGGCAAAAAAGGCCGAAATCAGGGTGTCAAAAGCTCGCAAGACCCATGGCAAACGCAAGATGTTGAGAATTGGCCATTTGGGTCATGACATGACCTGAAAAACAAGGTCATATCTCCGAAACCAAAAATCACAGAAACTTGAAATTTTCAGTGGACATCAAGAAAGGATAGAGGAGCAGCTATACGAAAAATCAGCGTTCTAGCACTAAAAATGTTGAGTGCAGAGCAGAAAGACTACCTGGGGGGGGGGGGTGGCAACCACCCCCCCCCCCATGTGCGGGCGAGGGTTAACTCGTTTATTTATATCGGCATAATTTTTGTCTTGTTTTTGAACTTCGTTTCCTGCTTTGAGTTTGCAAAGTTTGGCAGCTTGCAGCGCTTCTTCTTTTTGAATCATGCGGCTAGACAACGCCAAAGTAACGGGTGTGGCGAGTCCACCATTCCTTGGATTGCCCTGTGCCACCCTTCAAATTTGTTGTTGCTCCTCGACATTGCCTCGTCGGTGCGAATCCTGACATTCCACATGTCTTTTCCGAAATTGTTGTGCTCTCCTTTGCCCCCTCCGTCCCTGCCTCCCAATGTAGATATCTTCAAAGTAATTGTAATAGGTATCTTCAAAGTTCTTTGCACCACTAGCTCTCCTTGGGACTAGCTCTTATAAGTTACTAGCTATTTTAACATTAGCTTTTACATCACTAGCTCTTTTGTAGCACTAGCTCAAACGTACTAGCTCAAATGACACTAGCTGTTTTGTCGCTTATAGCTATTCCGACACGAGGCCGTACCGGATAGCCGCCGTGAAAACGGCTAAAATGTAGGGAGCCGCAAATTACCCGACACTCTTTACATCTGCTTTGACGTAAAATAGCCAAACTCATTCGACATTGCTCTCGTGTCTTTTCTTGGCTATATCTTTACTCGACCTTGACGTAAACTAAAAATACATGCATTTGAGTATATTACGTAAGTACACACGGACAAGAAAACAATAAATATCACATATCACTGCTTCAGCGGACCATTAGATCAGAAAATGACACAACGTCCTCCAAACACTTAATACGCATCATGCAAATATTGTAACTGATAAGAAAGCACCACTAGTTGTTATACTTTTGGACGGGGCGGTAGGCGTAGACGGGCTCCTGCTCAGGCTCCTTGTAGACGGGAGCAGCCTTGTAGACGGGAGCCGGAGCCGGAGCGGCCTTGTAGACGGGCTCCTCCGGGTACTGGGCCTCGCCCTCGTACGTGACCTCGGCGTTGTAGCCGGCGTAGTCGTCGACGGTGTACTTGACCGTCTGGATGCGGCCGTCGGGCAGAGCCACCGTGTAGTAGCCGGACGTCTGCTTGCCGTCGCTGTTCTCATTGGCGGCAAACTTGGAGCCCGTCTCGTAGTCGCTGACAGAGTAGTCGAACGCGTACGGGGACGGCTCGTACTCGGGCTCCTTGTATGCAGCCGGGGCCTTGTAGGCAGCCGGGGCCTTATAGGCAGCCGGGGCCTCGTACTTCGCAGGGGCCTCGTACTTAGCAGGGGCCTCGTACTTAGCAGTGGCCTCGTAGGTAGCCGGGGCCTCGTACTTCGCAGGGGCCTCGTAGGCAGTCGGGGCCTTGTAGGTAGCAGGGGCCTCGTACTTAGCAGGGGCCTCGTAGGTAGCAGGAGCCTCGTAGGTAGCAGGGGCCTCGTAGGCAGCAGGGGCCTCGTACTTAGCAGGAGCCTCGTACGTAGCAGGGGCCTCGTAGGTAGCCGGGGCCTCGTATGTAGCCGGAGCCTCGTACTTAGCAGGGGCCTCGTAGGTTGCAGGGGCTTCGTACTTAGCCGGGGCCTCGTAGGCAGCCGGAGCCTCGTACTTGGCCGGGGCCTCGTAGGTAGCGGGGGCCTCGTACTTAGCAGGGCCCTCGTACTTAGCGGGGGCCTCGTACCTAGCTGGGGCCTCGTACTTAGCAGGAGCCTGGTAGGTAGCAGGAGCCTCGTATGTAGCCGGGGCCTCGTACCTAGCAGGGGCCTCGTAGGAAGTCGGGGCCTTGTAGGTAGCAGGGGCCCCGTAGGCAACCGGAGCTCTGTAGGCAGCAGGAGCCCTGTAGGCAGCAGGCAGCTTGTCGGCGGCAGCGACGGCCAGAAGGGCGGCGACAATGAAGGCCCTCATTTTGGTAGTGGTCCAGAGGTGGTGCGCTTGTTGAGATGGCCAGGTGGGGTACTGATGGAGAAGCGGTCCACACTTTCGCTTTTATAGTGGCCAGAGCGTGGAGCTCGGGCCCACAAGGTCGTTCCCGGGGAGCGCCCGGCGAAATATTGCACAACGGGGTTATGTTCCAGTGCCACGCGACGGATGTAATTCGGGTTGATTTCAAGAACTCCAAAACCCCTATATCTGAGGGCATCAGTCAAGTGCAAATGTTTTCATGCCGTTAGTAGATGATTCGGCCTTTATTAACCCTCGCCCGTATAGGGGGGGGGTCGAACGGACCCCCCCATGGTTTTTCGCGAATAACTCGCGTAAAAAGCGGCCGATCGCGACGAAACTTTCAGTACATTCGCGTTCATCAATTTCACACCTACCCTGAAAATTTCATGACCCTGACCCAAATGATCTTTGACCTGTGACCTACTTTTCGAGACCATGTTTGGCTGGAATCGCGATTCGGCGTATGTCGGCTCGCATTAGCACGCGTTTGCAGTCTTTTCGTGGTTTCAAGCGTTCAAACATGTGATATGATGTTGCCCCCATGCATAAGGGTGGGTGTCAAGGTCACCTGAAGGTCAGGTCAGATCATTGACCTTTGATGACCTCGGTTCACTTTTTCGAGTTTTACATGTTTCTAGGCCAGTTTTTGGAGCTAAATTCGAATTTAGCAGCCATATGAACATTTACGAAGTAGTTTTGGTGCCTTCGTAACATGTTACGAAGCTGTCAGAGGCGGTTGCCACCTACTACGAATACCCTTACTGGTTGACCTGACCTGAACTGACCCGACCTGGCCTAAATACATGAAGACATCATCTGTGATCAAAACTAACACGATATTCGTGATCAGCACCCCGAAAAACCCCATCGCAGCCACACTTTACGACGTTCTAACAGGTCCCGATTTTCCCGCCTTTGGGGTCATTGACCTGACCTGCAAGGTCAACCAATGACCTAGGACCTTAAAATTGGGTATCATCGGCTTCCTGTCGTCACGAGCAACACGCTCGTTTTTTCCGCGAAGCTCTAGCTCGATCAGGGGCGAAACGGCAAGGGGGGGGGGGTCCAACGGACCCCCCTTATACGTTCGCGGCTGGAAAAACACCAATACGGGCGAGGGTTAAGCCACTCCCGCTGGGGCTCCTCTATTTCCACGTCCTGCTGCGGCAGAGGTGTTTGAACAATTCATTCTAACTCGGCTGCAGGGTCACGTAGTGATATGCCACCGGGGTGGTGTTTCACCGATGATAGCAGCACGCTGCTATCACACGCGTCAAAATTGAGTTAGGTACCATTGGAGACATCAACAAGCCCATTGCTCCAACACTGCTACAAGTGTGACGTCAGGTCGCGAAATGCGATAGCAGCGTGGTAGCAGCGTGCCGTGAAACACCGCCCGGTAGGTGGCATCGAAAACGTGTCGAAAATAAAGGCGAAGCTACTTGGGCCATTTTTTAGGTGAGGTCAAAGGTCAGGTCACCAAGCCTCATTAAACTCCAAGTTCGTCTAGTTCGACAATTTTCAACAAATCGGCGCGTAACACGGGAACAGTTAGAGCTACAGTGCCGCCAAGAAGCGCGTCGGATAGCCACTTTTCACGCTCTTTCTAAACGATGCCCTCAGATTTCACCTATGGTCAGAGGTGTAGCCATACCAAGGACGAAAACTGCAAAATTTGACGTTTTTTTGCGGAACACGTTTTTATACAAAAACATCTGTCATCACACTCGTATTACGTTGGTTTTACCGGCATCGCGTTTTTCTCATTGAGACACGTCGAATGAACTATAAGTTGGGCTAAAAAGGTCAACTTAAAAATTTGACCTCAGGTCAAGGTCACGGAAAAGACATGCTGTCAAGCGATTCTTATAATTGAGCTGAACACATCCAAGGTGTTGTCATCGCTCTAACATGCTTCTATATAAAGTTGTTGTCAAAAAGTCGCTGTGGACGTGGTATGACCTGAGCTGACCTCAGGAATATAAAGAGGGGTCATAGGTGCAATATTCCGACTGAGTGTGTCACGTATGCATCCCGATGTTTGAGAGCGTTCCGTCCAAAAGAAGATCAGTTCAATTGTCTCCTTACATGTAATAGAGTTAGCAAAATTGGCCTGATCCTAGGTCACCGATATCGAAATGATGAGATAAACAAATTCTAAATATTGCTTCCCTCATGCAATACACCGACTGTCAAACTTCTAGGAGAAAAGCTGTATAAATGACAGAATAACAAAGTTGTTTTGGAGACATGGTCACTTATAACTTGGTGACCTGACCTTATTAGCCCTGGGATAGGGCTTTCACACATGATGCAAAACCGATGCATCATTAACCGCAGTGAGTTTGCGGCGGTGCGCACCGACGTTTTTTATATACGCAAAAACCTGGCGGCTGTGGCCAAAAACGCGAGCTAAGGTTAGACACTGATATGACCATGGATGTATTGAACATATGCATAAATATATGTATAAATATAATGGCCCTTGCACTGAGTGAGGCAATTTGGTGCAATTTCCAGCTTTGCATCACTCAACGTCCTAGCCAGTTGACCTGTCAGTGTTTATCTGAATGCTGACACGAAGCAGGCTACGCTCTTGCCGTCTGGCTGACCGGTGAAGAATGCAGCCGAACGGATGCACAACCCACTCTGGACACATTCCAGCCACTGGCGGCAGACATTATCGATGTGTTTAACCATATGGATATACACCTTGTTTTCGGCATAAACTGACCTATCCGGACAAGTCGTTGCTGGTATTGGATGACCAGGCTGTTATTCAGAACAGCTCGTGGAGCCGTGCCGGTCGGAACCGGCGCCGACACCGCCAGTGTGACTGGTGGAGCTCCAGGAGCCGGAGGTCACCAGTATTTAGCGACCGGCGGTGACCGGCAGACACTACAGTACATCCAGCGCCAGCCGCCGGGCAGGCAGATTGTCACCATGGCACCGGTGCCGGTGGTGCAGCTGGTGCTAACACTTACGCTCGTCGTGGTGCAGTCTTCAGATGCCTGTAAGTGTTAAATTCTGTGGCCTGGGCCGGGTGGACCGCGGGGCGGCCGTAGGTGTACCGCAGACCGCTGTTGTGGCTCCCTGCGGCTGACCGGAAAATGGGACGGCCAGTTGCGCGACTTGCATTAGCGTGTCTTTCCCATTGGGGTGCGATTGCCACAGCTGTGATGTCGGACTATGTGGGGTGCGCTGTGGACGCACGAATCTGACCTGACCTGACCCCCCCTCTCTCTCTCTCTCCCTCCTCTTTCTCTCTTTCACTCTCTCTCCTCCCTCCTCTATCTCTTCTCTCCTCTCTCTCTCTCTCCCACCCTCCCTCCCCCTCTCTATTTCTCTCTTTCCTCTCTCTCCCCTTCTCTTCCTTTCTCTCTCTCTCTCCCTCCTCTTTCTCTCCCTCACTCTCTCTCCTCCCTCCTCTCTCTCTCGCTCCTCTTTCTCTCTTTCACTCTCTCTCTCTCCTCCCTCCTCTCTCTCCTCTCTCCTCTCTCTCTCTCTTTCTCCCTCTCTCTCTCCTCTCTGTCTGTCTTTCTCTCTATCTGAATTGATGTCCGCCCGGGTAAGTGCTGCGGATGATTGTCGCCGCTATGGTCAGCAAAGTAATCTTGGGGTCAGCCACCTCACCATCATTTGTGTCGTCTCGCCTGCCTCGGAGCCGAGTCCAGACACACCGGGGTCGCGGGACCGGGCTGCAGGATGGCGAGGTCGGCACTCGACAGCGATAATGCTGACTGCAGAGCATCGAGCACAGATAACTGGTTAAATTTAAGAGCTCTGACATACAGGCACACACTATCTGTTTGGCTTGGCGTTGAAATGTTGTTTTGTTATATCAATTGACATAGAAATGGTTCGTCATCTTTTTGCAGTAGGTATTCTTCTAAGCGTTGTAATCGCCACGCCATATGTGGAAGGCTTTTGGTGTCAATACATACATACATACATACATACGTTGTGCCTCATTCAAATGTCGGTTTTATATTTTGATGATGCCTCAGGAGAAGCTATTAGCTGCTTACCGCACTCACTCTAGCGGTTAGTTGTATTACAACTATAACCGCTATGTAGTGGCGTTGCCTTCTTATTCTAAATTAGGTACGACAGGCTGTGATCTGATGATTTTCGAAGCACCAAATATAAAAAGGACGGCTGAATACCTATTGGATATTGTAAAGAGCACACTATCCTTTTAAATGTTAAGCCAACGAAAAGTCCCTCCTTGACCTGAGATAAAAGCAACATACGACTTCATTGACCTGATAAAGCATTGCTGCCGCATTGGCATTCCAAAACACGTCCCTGAGTGAACCCTGCCAAGCGCAGCGATAGCCATGAAAGTCATGGGCTGCGTTCATCTCTACGAAGTACGAACATAAGCGTAGGAACCATGGGTGCAGTGGGTGCAGTTGCACCCACAATAATTCTCCAGTGGGTGCAGACAATGTATTCTGCACCCACAATAATCTGGAACAAAAACCCCTTTTCTCATCAACACTTCTTCCCATGCAGCAAAACAAATTCAGGATATTTTGCCCACTTTCCACCTTTAGAAGCGTTTGCTACTGTGATGGTCTTCAAAACTTACATTTGCGCTCAAGTAAAAAAGGAAGCAACGGAACACATGTGATTGAACACATACCGATGACCCACTGTCAAAAGTTTTAACCCGATACCTATCTTCGAAAATGGCAAAGTTAGCCGCATTTAGGTACTTTTTGCGGTAGTCAATATTGACATTATCAACGCTTCTAAATACACTTATCATCGGTAGGTAACTTTTCGACATGGTACACCCTCAAAGCTCACAAGGAGCCTCCGCTCGGGTGCCGCTCCCTACCCCCTCCCCCCCGGCTTCACCGGCCATGGCTGGATTTCTGCACACATGCACCCACAATGTTCCAGCCATTCCTACGCCCATGTCTACGAAGTAGCCAGATTGGAGACGTGGCTACTCCTGAGGGCAGTTGTGAGAGAAAATATAAATCAAGGTCACGTCCTTCACCGCGACTGAAATCGGCCCGGATACACGGAATCGGCGCTTCGTTAACGCAGAGATTACTACCCCCTCCAGTGTGGGCGGAGCGGCGCGGTTGCGCCAGCACGGCTGCCTGGCGGGGTTACGACGTGTTACTAGCCTGCGGGGACACTCGAGTAGCTGGGAAACACCGCTGACTGCGTGAGCCGTGAAAACTATCTACTGGACCTAAGGAGTCATACAATAAAGTCGATCGAAGTCATTGGCTTAATACAATATAGGTACATAACAGCTGAGAAAGAATTGTCCAGTACTTCCATGGACAATTGGACAGGGCCGTTATCTCCCTTTTAGTATTGTTTAATACCTACACATTGTGATCTTGCAATGATAGCCTGCTCTGGAACAAGCTGTGTCATTAGATTAAGACCGGGTAATGTGACAGTAACTATATACGGCTGAAGGCTGCTACAGATGAGCTCTTATTTCTAATGTCCAATTCCAGTCTTGCAAATTTATTAGGCTCTAGTAATGTCTGACAGATCAAATCGTTATTTGTATTACGTCACATCTGCGTCATAGTACGTCACAGTGTTGTGTCCGACAGGGGACTGGTGCAGGACCGTGAGTCGCTCCGACAGGGGTCCGCTGGGACCGTGTGTCTCTCACAGTCTGGTAGGGTAGGACCGTGTGTCGCTCCGACAGGGGTCCAATGGGACCGTATGCCGTTCAGTCCGGTGGGACCGTGTGTCTCTCACAGTCTAGTAAGACCGTGTGTCGCTCCGACAGGGGTCCGGTGGGACCGTGTGTCGTTCAGTCTGGTGGGACCGTGTGTCGGTCACAGCACCTTGTCGCTCCGACAGGGATTCGGTGGGACCGTTTCGACGACAGGTGTCAGCAGAAGTCTGCCCGGCTAGCCGTCGGTACCCGGATGGAGACCGAGATTGTGTACACCTCCCCGGCCACGGCTCTGGACGGCCACGCCGGGCGACTGATGTAAGCTGATGGGGTTAGATTTGGGGCTTAGAATGCCTCCATACCTGAAATGAAACTAACGATTCGAGAATGCAACTATGCTTGAAGTTTGATGGAAGTACGATGGAGCCTATGGAAATGTATCACGTTCTTCATCAGTCACTTTTGCTAACAATGGGACCAGTTTATTGCCCGTGACCGCAAGGTTTACTGAGGACCGTTTAAAGTTTCTACGCTAAGCTTTGTAATGTATGGAAACTGAAGACCTCACTTGTGCTCAATGCTCATTGTGGACATTGTGTGTGTGTGCCCATGCCCCTAAATGTTGATTGCTGACATTACCTATGCTCGTGCGAAACTTGAAAACTTTCAGCATCGGTGAAGCTTCAAATGGTTGAATGCAAATAAGTAGTAGGTATTTTATTTATTGAAGATGGATCTTATTCTTTACGTACGATTTTCATTTTAATGCCTAAAGAAATGTGTTTAAAATTCCATCAAACTCTTACTACAGCTAGTTCAGTTACTCAACGCTGGGTAGGAAACTTAGGCCACCTTTCTCTAACAGTCACCCTTTTGGTCGGGCCAATAGACAAGTCTGCAGCTCTATGAGGCGCCGCGCCCTGCGGTCCAGCATAACTCCCCGCGCCGGGAGGGGAGTGCCCCTGTCTCCTCCCTCGCTCTCTCCCGTCGTCCCGCGACCCTGGCCGACATCCCCACCTGTCGAACGGACACTGGGATCTGGATCCAGTGTCCCGCTCGGTCCGAGATTGTGCCCGCAGGCGAGGCAGGGGCGCGCCCAGGATAGTCTCAAACTGCGCTGGACTGGCGACCCCTGCCATAAAAACTTACACAATGATGAAAATTTGCACTTCGAAATGTGAAAATTTGAAAAAAGTTATGTTCTGATTTGTTTTCAATGCCATTGCTTTTCGGTGAAGAAACGACTTTGTTTATGAAACTCGTGCGTAGATGTGACCATCTAGTCCCCAGCATCGTCGTCATGAACTCGTTCCTTGACATCAGTTCAGTAGATAAGCTAAGCCACTATGCAGGCTTCATTCTTACTCGACTGGCGGACTTCGCTCCGACTGCTGGGCTCTGCCTCACCCCCCCCCCCCCCGACCGCTGTGCCGTACCCTGCCTGCTGTGCCCCCCCCCCTCCCCACCACCACCGACCGCTGCGCCGCGGACCGGTACCCTGCCTGCCGTGCCCCTCCCCCTCCCCCACCGACCGCCGCGCTGTGCCCTGCCTGCCGTGCCCCCCCCCCCTCCCTACCACCACCAACCGCTGCGTGCCCTGCCTGCCGTGCCCCACCGACCACCGTGCCCGCTGTTTGTCAGCTCGAGCCGCGTCACCGGCGGACCGTACAAGGCCCTGGAGCTATGTGTGGACTACGGCTACGCGGGCCACCAGGTGGACGTGTCCACGCCACCGCAGGTGTATGTGGACACGGCGGTGGACGTGGACAGTGGCCGGGGACAGCCCCTCATCCGGCTCACCAGTCCTGCGGTTCATCGGTGAGACCGCTCGGCCAGACGGCGGATACAGCTCCACTGGATACGGGATACACTAGATACAGGATATACTGGATACAGCTCCACTGGATACGGGATACACCGGACACAGGATACACTGGATACTGGATACACTGGATACAGCTCCACTGGATACTGGATACACTGAATACAGGATATGCTGGATGCGGGATACACTGGATATGGAATACACTGGATACGGGATACACTGGATGCGGGATACACTGGATACATCTCCACTGGATACGGGATACACTGGATACGGGGTAGATACACAGGATATGGGATACACTGGATACGGGATACATTGGATACGGAATACACTGGATACGGGATACACTGGATACTGAATACAGGATACAGAATATTGGGTTTACGGGATGCTTAGGTACAGGGTACTGGGTGCACTGGATACTTGGTTTTGAAAATAGTATTCTGGAAACAAGATACCGGATGCATGATACTGAGTCACTGACTGCTGGATGCTAAATTCTGGGAGCCACACTGAACACAAAACATATGATTGCATTTTGTGCTGGAATTTGGACTGGAAGTGCTGGAAATCGGACATTTTATACCTACTAGACTATCCAGGATGCTGCACACTGCACACTGTATGATGCACGCTGTACCTACAGTCTGTCTTAAAAGTACCGCGCAAAGTAACGGTGGATCCATCAAGCTTGACCGAGGAAGGGCCTACTAAATTTGAGTCACCGAAGCAATTCACATCCTCGTCCATTCCCTAGGTCAATTGGTTCGGTGACTTTCAAATTATAGCAGGCCCGACCTCAGTCAGGCTTGATGGATCCACCGTCTTAAAAGTACCGCGCAAAGTAACGGTGGATCCATCAAGCTTGACCGAGGAAGGGCCTGCTATAATTTGAAAGTCACCGAAACAATTGACCTGGGGAATGGACGAGGATGTCCATTGCTTCGGTGACTTAAATTTAGCAGTCCTTCATCGGCCAGGCTTGATGGATCCACCGTCACTTTGCGTGGTACTAAGACAGACTGTACAGTCTCTTAAGAAAGTATTGCGCATCGGTGCCGTGGATCCATCAAACCCGACCGAGGAAGGGCTGTTAAATTCGTGATTCACCGAACCAATCGACATCCTTATCCATCCCCAGGTCAATTGGTTCGGTGACACTCAAATTTAGCAGCCCTTCCTCGGTCGGGCTCGGTGGATCCACGGCATCGATGCGCGGTGCTTTCAAGAGTGACTGTACCTGACACATTGAAACAATGGGTGAATGTTTGACCCACCTTGATGTGTGACACTATGCGGGACAGTTGCGGGCCCCGTGCCGCCTCCTGTGCGGCCCTCCGTCGCACCCTGACCCGCCTGTACCTACCCGGCAGTGTGCCGGAGGGGCAGCGGCTGGAGCTGACCTGCTCAGCAGTCGGCGAGCCGACCGTGGCCGTCCAGTGGAGCGGTGACGCCGCGTTCTCCGCCCTGAAGGCGGTGCCGGGCCGCGCCACGGGCGTGTTCGAGCGGGTGACGGCCGCCGACGCGGGCCGGCTCACCTGTCGCCTCGTCAGCGGCGCCGTGTGGCTGGAGCAGAGCGTGCGGCTGGTGGTGGTGCCGGCCCGACACGGCACGCCGCCCACCATCCGCCCGCCCGACGGCGGCGAACTGGAGTGAGTGTCCATCTCGGGATCCCAATCGCAGCACCGGCCCGGGCTGGAGCGGAGAGCTTCAAATGCATCATACCTAACGTTCTTGTAAATTGTGATGATTCAATGTCTCATGGTCATGGTTAGTTCTTCCTTTATCATTCTGTAGAGGCTTAGTTTCCATCGGGTCTACAGTGCAAAGATGCCTACTTACCTAGGTACTAGGTAGGCATAGCTCGCAATTCTCTATGATAAAAGTATATATATATATATATATATATATATATATATATATATATATATATATATATATATATATATATATATATATATATATATATATATATATATATATATATATATATATATATATATATATTAACCCTCGCACGACCAGGCCATTTCTCATAACACGAACGACCAGGGGGGGGGGTGTTACGACCCCCCTGGCATTTCGAAACGGAAGGTCGTAGAGCTTAGCGGAAAAAACCAACGGATTGCTCTCAACGAGATCTCGCGATTGGTGGTATATTTTTTGGTCCTGGGTCAACATTTGACCTACTTATGACCGGTCAAAGGTCAAATTTTCCGAAAAAAATCAAACTTTTTCAACTTTGCGCAACGATTGCGGCAAAACGGTGAGAGATATTAACTTCAAACCTTCAACAACGTATTCCCACTCAATTCTGCATCATATATGGTGTTTTTGGTGTATTTACCCTATAAAAGTAAGAGGCCTATTGCTGATGAGTGATATGGTGTCACATCACCCTCCGGTGTTTGTCCCGATTCGTCGGCTGTTGACCACTGCTCCGCTATAAATACTGTAGGTAACGACTCAGAAAAGATATGTGGATATCCACTGCAATGTGGATAGCATCAGCAGAAAACCTCGGGACTCGGTACACACTTCGTGAAAATCCGGCCGGAGGCTGTACCTCTTATGACGTCATAACTCCGTGACCTGACCTGACCCGGTCAATTTTCTTGCACCACACGATAGCCAATGCTTGCCCCAACATGCATGGGAAGTTTCATCATGATCCATCAAACAATGTGGGTATCACCGGCAGAAAACCTAGGGATTCGGCGCACACGTTTGGTAACTGTCGGCCGGAGGCTGTACCTCTTATGACGTCATAACTCCGTGACCTGACATGACCCGATCAATTTTTTCGGCAAAAGATGCGCAAAGGTTGCCCCAGAGGGTATTGAAAATTTCAGCCCGCTACGACAAGCCGTTTAGCGTGCACTTCGAAAAAAAACCTCAGGGGGGGGGTTGATACAACCCCCACCCCTAGGCGTTCTAGGGTTAACATCCCACTGAGATGAGATTTAGCCAATTTGTGATACATTTGTAATAGCCGTCAATAGTAATATTTGTAATAGTCAATATTTGTAATGGTCGTGTATGTATATAGTTAAGTAGGTACTTAATTTAAATCACAGGTGTTCTACTCTACATCCGTTCCTATCTAGGTATAAATGAATTGATTTTAACAAATTACCTACTTTAACGGCGATCTTAACACAGCCATTATCGAACAATGTCACCGCTCATAAGGTTTAATTTCAGAGAAAATTAGCGACAGATGCATATTTAGTATTTGCAGACATCTAATGTGGCGTGATATTAAATGAGATCTAGTTCGGTATAAACGTTATGCCAGTAGGTAGGTGAAATGCATTTGATTTTCATGCCTTTAAAATGTCTTACCGTCATGCGTGCTTACTGCTTACACAATGCGCATGCTAGCTTTATACATGACTAAGACTCCATACTTACTCACCAGTCGTGAGAACCGGTGGATACTTGGATTATTTTCCAACTATAGAGCCGCTGATTCTTTTGACCCGTATTACAACTGGCCTGCATTTCCCGTGCTTCTCTAAGGCCGATCATAGAATTATCAATCATTATTAAAGGTAATGATATAAACTGTATCCTTGGGTATAGGTGTGTGAGTTTGAGCGGGAGCTCGAGCCGGACTGACCAGCTCGCCACCCCGGCAGGGTGAACTGGGGCCAGCCCACCGAGCTGACCTGCGCGGCCACCGGCGACCCCACACCGAGCGTCGACTGGCTGGACCCTTCGCAATTTTCGACTGTGGGGGCCGTGGGGGGCCGCGCGACCGGCCGCATCGCGGACGTCACGCTCGGCCACGAAGGCACCTATACGTGCCGCGCCGAGAACCATGCCGGCGTGGTCACGGCGCATCTTCGGCTGAGTATAGGCGGCCCCTGTGTGCAGATGCCCAGGGGGGCGCCCGGCGAGCCGCCTACATTCTTCCCGCCCGGCTGTGCCATCGTTGACCCCCCGGGCTTCGTCCCTCACCACGAGACCGGGCCGTCCGTCCGGTCGGTCGGTGCGCCCAGCGTCCCCACGCACGGATCGCCCGCACTCAGACCCTCCTGCATCCCGGATCCGCCCGGTCCGCCGGGCTCGCGGCCGCGGCCGCTGCCGCCCGGCTGCCCGCCCGACCCGGCGCGACCGCCCAGTCCGCCGTGCCGGCGGGGTCCGCCCGGGGGCCCGACGTTCGTCCCGATCGGCTGCGAGCTGGACCAGTACGGCGGCCGGCTGGACGTGCCGCCGGGAGCCATAGACGACAGCGTGCTGGCGGTCTCACCGCCCGGGCCGGTGGGCCCGCCCAGCGGCCAGCCGCCCGCACCCAAACGCTTCTGCGTCCGGGGTCCGCGCGGTCCGCCGGGCTCGCGGCCGAAATTCTTCCCGCGCGGCTGCAACCTACCTCCGGGAGCCATAGACGACAGCGAGCTGGCGGGCCCCGGCTCTGACAGCGAGACCTGGACGTCCGGCCCGTCGGCGCCCTCTACCACGTACCGGCCGCCGTCCATCCGGTTCGACCAGTCGTCAGTGGTGTGGTGAGTCGGCGACGAACGGTGGCAAGGTGCACTTTTCAGGGCTAATACGAATACCCACGGTAGTTACATATTCCACTCGGTGTCATACTACGTTTAAATCAATCGCTTTTAATCTAATTTTATCACTTTATCTTTAACGCGCCCAATATACCTAATAAGCAAAAATGGGATGATTCACAAGTTAAAAAAAAACACTTGCCTTTTCCTTCTGATTGCCACGGCACAGACCAATGTGCTTCTTATAGGCATTAACATGCAGTAAACGTTCATATATGATGATAGATTAATATAATGATAAATCATTAACATGAGCAGAGCGGCAAAAACGTCCGTATAAACACTGAGCCAGATATCGGCAACCCTTAACCTTCGCCGGCACAGGCCATTTTGCGTCCTTCGACGGCACAAGGGGGGGGGGGGGTTTGGTACGACCCCCCCTCGCGTTTGGCCCCTGATCGAGCTAGAGCTTCGCGGAAAAAACGAGCGTGTTGCCCGTCACGAGACAAAGCCGATGATACCCAATTTTAGGGTCCTAGGTCATCGGGTGACCTTCCAGGTCAGGTCAATGACCCGAAAACCGGGCAAATCGGGGCCTGTTAGAAAGTCGTAAAGTGTGGCTGTTATGTGGTTTTCCGGGGTGCTGATCATGAATATCGTGTTAGTTTTGATCAGAGATGATGTCTTTAAGCATTTAGACCAGGTCGGGTCAGGTCAGGTCAGGTCAACCGGTAGGGGTTGTGACGGGTATTCGTAATACGTGTCAACCGCCTCTGACAGCTTCGTAACATGTTACGAAGGCACCAAAACTACTTCGTAAATGTTCAAATGGTTGGTAAATTCGAATTCAGCTCCAAAAACTAGCCTAGAAACATGTAAAACTCGAAAAAGTGAACTGAGGTCACCCGAGGTCACCAAAGGTCAATGACCTGACCTGACCTTCAGGTGACCTTGACACCCACCCTAATGTATGGGAGCAACATCAAATCACATGTTTGAACGTTTGAAACCACGAAAAGCTTGCAAACGCGCGGCTAATGCGAGCCGACATACGCCAAATCGCGATTTCGGCCAAACATGGTCACGGAGAAGAGGTCACAGGTCAAAGGTCATTAGGGTCAGGGTCATGAAATTTTCAGGGAACGTGTAAAATTGATCAATGCGAGGGTACTGAAAGTTTCGTCGCGATCGGCCGCTTTTTACGCGAGTTATTCGCGAAAAACCTTAGGGGGGGGGGTGCATCAACCCCTGTGCCGGCGAGGGTTAAGTTAATATGAGATGCTGGTCTCTTATTTCCTACATACATTAGCTTTTGAGTTTCGGCGCTCTTCTCTGTAGGCTAGAAGATTGAATCTCGGAAAATGGTCTCGTTGAAATAACAGGCTCATTTTCTATCGTTAGTTATTTGGTATGGAGCTGTGAGCCATTGAACCTGAGGCGCCTACTGATCACAAGTGCCGCGTGTCGTGTCTCCGCAGGGCCGAGAAGGGCACGGACATCGCGCTGACGTGCCTCGGGGACGGCGCGCCGGCGCCCAACATCACCTGGCTGCACCGGTCGCGGTTCAGCCGGGTAGTCGAGGTGCCCGGCCGGAGCACCGCCACGCTGGCCGACGTCCAGCCGCACCACTCGCTCCTCTACAGCTGCTGGGCCGAGAACGAGGCGGGCGCCGCTCTCGCCTGGGTCCGTCTGGTCGTCTACAGCCCCGAGTGCCTGCCGTCGCCGCCCGGGCCCCGCGGCCGGCCGCCGCTGCCGCCGCCGTCACACTGCCCGCTGCTGCCGCCGTGCCCGCCGGTCGGCCCGCCCGGGTCGCCGTCGCCACCACCCCACTGCCGTCAGCCGGGTCCGCCGTCCCCGCTGCCCGTAATCTGTCCTCTGCCAAGCTATCCCGGCTCCCCGCCGAGATATCGTCCTCCAGGCTGCCCCACCCTGCCCGCGCTGAAACCCGACTGCATCCCGGGACCGGGGACCGGGTGTCCCCCGGAGATACCGAACCCGTTCACATCCACCTGAGCGGCGGGTCAGCCGGCCGACACCGGGTGGCTGAGAGCCCACCCGACCTCAGACGGGTGAGCACTGAGCAGCACCGAGTGCCGCGTCAGCGCGGCGCCCATCTGAATCAACTGAAAGTGCGACGCGATCCGATGAATATTCACCTTTATTCGAAGCATGAATGTCTTTCGAGATTAAGGTGCGATATTGAATTGATGACGTTTGCAATTCATGCAGTTTGGTTATGTAAAAAGCTCGGGCACTATATTTGTTTTTACATTGCAGGGAAATGCAAGATGACATTACCTATAGTTTTATCAGTTGTCTCAGTGAAACAAAATTCTGAAGAATACACTGAATAAAGCCATGAAGCAAAAGTCAAACCTTTACTTTGGATGAATAATAGACAAATAATAGCCTCCCAAGTTCCAACGCCTAGTCAAAGTGCGGTAGACGTCCACCGACGTGGGGGCTGGTCCCGATTTGCGGTATTATCTGATAAGGTGAAGCGGTGCGCTGAAGAAACCACCGAATAAAGCAATGAAGCAATACCTATGCATGTGTGCTAATTAGAGCACTTCACGGATAGGCTTTTTAGGATCCGGCCCGGCCCATATCCGGCAAGTCATATCCAGATCCGCCCATTATCCGCCTTTCTTTGAATATCAGAATCCGGCCCACCCATGGCCCGTATTGCAGCCAAACTTCCAAAAAATATCCGTAATAATCCGTTTCACCAATAACTGGTTTCACCCAAACCTGGACTAACAAATTCAATCTAAGGGACCAGACAGCCATACATCTCATAGACCATCATGGTTCCAAAAACCATGCATACATTGCATACATTATCCACTTGAAGACAAGTCTTGTGACAAGTGAGTGTCATAAAATGATGCCTATTACTTTAATCAAACCTCTGCTGCCGCTTAACACATTAGGTTAATTTTTAACTTCAATGTTGAATGTTAAAATTTTGATCCGTTTTGATCCGGGTTCAACCTTCAATTCCCAAACCGGCCCGCCCATATCCGTTCTTTTTTAACAAATTTAGAATCCAATCCTATCCGGTCCGCGGATTTATCCGTGGATAACGGATTTATCCGGCCCATGAAGTGCTCTAGTGCTAATGGTCTCACTCTCAAGATAAGAATTCGAGCGACTAGTTTGGACTTTGGATGCGATAAATATTCGTCCAGCTATCAGCTCAAACCGACAGCTGCGGTAGCAGTCTGAGCGAGCCAGGCGTTCGACTCGTGCTGAGTGCACCCCGTCTCAATCGAGTGGAGTAAAAAATGTGGGAGCATTAATCCTAATAGAAAATATAAGCAATTTGACGTCTACATATATTGAGAGTTAACAGTTAATACGAATCATTTGAAGTGTCATTTCATTTCATCATCATCAAATTATTTGAAGTCACTTTAGTGGTCTCAAATTGCTTCTCAGCTACTAACGACCCTATAGTAGACGCACGTTTTCTTACAATAATACTCGCTGCGCATTGCGACTCGGCTCGTCGGTCACGTGTGGTGTGCCGTCGCCGCAAGGTGCCACTCAGTTGGCTGCCAGCCTCCGTCAGGCGAGGGACTGCGCCGCTTAGACAATTTACACAGCTCACCGACGTAAAGATACGTCCCAGCTTCCTCCGCTCGCCCAGACACCCTACAGTCCGGTCTGCTCACAAGTCTACCAGCCTGGCATCGCTCAAAGGGTAGGTTCTGACGGCATAGCCTCATCGATAGTGGGACGGTGCAGGCCTTCCAATGAACCGACTGGCAGTTGGTGAGATCGGGATTTTCAATACCTAGTTCTGCTGGAGACAGTGACTGGCATTCATCAGTCAGACAGATGCCGTCGTTTAACGGTCGCCGTCGTTCTCTGCCCGCTCGAGCACTACCGAAGTCGTGCCTCGCGTCTCTCTGGATAGGGCCGTGATCGCCAAGCTCGTCTCCCTCCGCCCGAGCCCCTCCCGAGTCAGGCGTCATGAGTAACCGGGCGCGCGTGGTGGGCGGTCTGCTGGTGGCGCTCAACTCTGCACCGGCCGCGCTGGCCATCGTCACCTGTCGGCGTCTGCGCGCGCGCGCCATGTACCAGACGATCGCCAACCACGCGGCCATCGAGACGCTGATGGGCCTGCTGATGGCGGCCGCCGGCGGGCCGCAGCTGCTGGACGTGCGCGCGCCGCCGGCCGTCTGCCGCGCGCTGTTCGCGCTCATCCCGGCGCTGGTGCTGGCCTCGATGGCGGCGCTGGTCGGCCTCTCGCTGGAGCGGTACGTGGCCGTCATGCACGGGCTGCGCTACTTCCAGCTGCTGACGCCGCGCCAGCGGCGGGCGCTGCTGCTGGCGCCGTGGTTGGCGGCCGTCGGCGCCGCCGCCTTCTGCTCGGCCGTGCTGGCCGGCGCGCCGGACAGCGGCACCTGCAGCGTCGAACACGTGCCGCCGCTCATCTTCCTGGTGCTGGACTCCGTGGACCTGCTGCTCTGCCTGCTGGTGCTGGCGCTGAACGCGGCGGTGGCGCTGCAGGCGGCGCGGCACCGCAGCGACATCGAGCGCCAGCGGCGGCAGGTGGGAGCAGCAGCCGCCCGTCACGTCGACAAGTACCGCAGCTACCGTGCCGTCCTCACCGTCGTCGGACTCTACGTGGTCTTCCTCGTACCCTACGACGTCACATCGGTGCTGGCCTTCTTTGTCGACAGCCCGCTGCTGCAGAAGGTCAAGGCGGTCTCCATGGCACTGCGACGCGTCATGTTCATCCTAGACGGCTGGATGTTCGGCTTCCTATGCTCCGAAATCCGACGTCGCTACAAGCAGCTATTCTACTGCTGCCAAAAGACTGGGGACTCTGAGGGCCTGGCTGCACCAGCGGCAGCCGGAAGAGTGCGGCGATTGTTCTTGATGCGTGGCCGCACCGCGCAGGAAGGGAAAGTTGCTTCATGCGCGGCACTGATTGGAAGCGAGCAGCTTCCGAAGGTCACCACTCCACCTCCAACCTCAAGAGAGACCACGCAGAAAACGGTATTCACAATCCATGTGAGAAGGGCATGGCCTGACGAGCCGGAAACAAGTGGAGAAAATACCAGGGATCTAGCATTGTGGGAAAGCCAGAGAACCGAAACGCTAAAGACCAGTTGTATGTCAGTGTAATTGCTTCTGCACAGAGTCTGGTGACTGGCAAACACTTGCAACTAGAGCGCCAATCCCTGCAGTAACATCAAATACCTTGCATATTATGGTGACAGGGGATGGGAGATGTGACGAGTGACGACATCCGCTGAAACAGACTGAGCTACCCAACGACGTTGTTAACTCACATACTTGTTCAAATCTCTATAAGGTACTTACCTCTGTCTGGTAAATCTATGGGATGCCTACCGCCTTCTGGCAGCGAACAAGCCAGTGCGACGGAGCGTAGTTCGCCGGACTTATCGGTTTTCTTCTACATATGCCCGGTCAAGGAGATACATGTAGGTATGCGCATACGAGTAGACCCCTGTATACCGGATACAGAGGTATACAGGGTCTGTATTGGGTCTGTATACGATTACGGTGTACTGAGGTCTATGGTATGCATGAGCCTCGCGGAGAAAAGTGTGTACGCCGTTACGAGACGCAGCGACTGGTACCCAATTTGAAGGTTTTAGGTCATCCGGTGACCTCTGAGGTCAGGTGAAGTGCCCCAAGGTATGGCTTCGGCTTTTGATGAATAACCTTGAAAAAAATGGTCGCAAATTCGCAATTTTGGCATAATCGTGTTTGTCGTGGTCACTGGTCAGGTGCGTCGAAAATTAAAGTTTTTGTTTGGTTGAGGTCAACTTAGATTGTTGACCTCAGGTGAAGGTCAGGCTGGTGAAAGCCAATCATGTTAGGAAGTTGATCAGAGGAGTCCATGATTGCATTTTATTCGATTCGGCACGCCACGTTCCAGTTAATGTTCAGCTGCTAATAAAACGCTAACACATCCGTCAAGATGGTCAATAATAAACAAATGCAGACAGCACACTTCTCCAGCAAATTAAGCAAAAACGGGTCGTTTTAGGAAGGTATTTGCTGGGACAGTTAACAGGCCGGAGCTGCATTAAGTTGTTTGCGCACAGAGGCGCTCGAACAAAATATTCTTACCCAGCATTGACAACGGATCAGAAGCCATCTGTCATCCAGACGAATCCCAGATGCATTAACAGAGCAGGAATGCTTGCAAACGTGATGAAAAACAGGTAGTAGGTCGTTCAATAAGTACGGTGAAAGGTGCTTTTGTTCATTTATCATTGCTCATTTATCATTATTTCGATTTGTTTCATTTACGTTGCATATGAATGCAAGCATCAGGTGCCCACTGAGTCACACAAGTTATGAGTTTGTTTATGGCGACGTGAGGCAAGCAGCTTGATGGGCTATCGCGTGAAGACTTGCGATTTTTATACGAACTTAATAATCCGTAAATTGTAATATCCGTAGATATCCGTAGATAATAAATATCCGTAACTTGTGATGCTTATTCGAGTTCAAAGAGCCTCAAACACAAATAAATTATATAATAAATATATCATATATTAACTAAATTGGCTTGAAATGTGCGAATTAACAAGAAAATATAGCAGCAACACGCCACAAGGGACCCAACATTCACACAATAAAGACCACTTGGAACAATCAGGGCGATTCAAACCCGAGGGCATTCGGTTCACTAGCACGCGAGGCGGCGCATAAGATACGGAGAAAACGAGGCAGCCAGCTCACCATCACAGACATAGCACACTCGCCCCACACCCAGAGCCGCTCCACACACACTTAGATCACTCACACTGACAGCCACTCAGCAGCGGGCACCGCACGTCACACGCACATCTCAGAAAGCTCACGGTCGCCCGTCCCCTCAGAAGACACCGCACGCCGCCTACCCTCTCACCTCGCCCCCTCAGAGACACCCACACCACCCGCACCGCACACCCCACAAGTTCCAGGCTCCGAGCCACCCGCCGCACCCAACTCACTCTTCTGGAGCCACCCGGGTGTCCGGCCCACTCAGAGCGAGCTCACGACGCCTGCGCCACCTCCGGTGTCAGCGAGATCAGCGAGTTGCTGTTCTCGACCAGGTCGGCGAGCGAGACGCGTCCGCGCCGCCGGATGAAGGTGGCCACCGCTTCCAGCTCCGAGGTGGGGATGTAGATGAACTTGCCGCGGTCGTCAATGACTCCTGTCCGGAAGAGAGTGGCAGTCAGCGGACGGAAGGAGTCGCACCATAGAGGAGCATCCGTTTACCGACAGATCCGTCGCAGTATGGTGAGATTTGGTAATGAGAGAGGGTGCCACCGGATGAATCGCGTATTCGGCGATTAATTGTGCGTAGGGGAGGTTGGGGTAATTGGGCCGCTTTTTTTTAGAAAACGATATAACTTAAAATTGACGACACCTTTCTGCATTTTCTCAACGCTGGCAGGTGTCGCATTCATTTTACTTTACTGGACAGTGAACTTGAAATGATAGAGTAATTACTTATATTGACATTGTGACGCATTACAAAGGTCTGCAAGGCGGCCAAATTGCCCCACTAGCAGGGTTATTTGGCTGGGGGTGTGGGGCATTCCACGATAGATCGTACCAGGCCCGTCACCCTCATCTCTCAGATTTGAATGAAAATTGGTACAAGGGGTAATCACAGGCCCCAAAAACACCTGCCAAAATATCAGACTTCTCAGATGAAAACTTTTTGAGTTACATTGCATAATATTTTCTAAACTTCAGATTGTAAGGGTGAGTTTGATGAGCTATAACTAAAAAACGAGCTAAGCAAGCAACAAACGGTAAACAGCTTTGAACTAACGATGAATCAAAGATTAATACAGTATTTTTATAATTGGAAAGAAAAGCTTTACATATTGAAAAAAGTCGTAGTATTTTTTTAAATCGTCTATAATGGCCCTTGGGACCAAAATTTTTGCCATTTTTATTTCTTCAAAATAAACCTCAGGTCCTTTAAAATCGACATGCAAAAAAATTAGAAAGGTGTTCTTTCTATAAGTTCCTCATTTAAATGTATACAAAATGGGTTTCCGGGGGTTCGGTACGACCCCAGCTCGCCGTTTCGCCTCTAATGGAGCTAGAACCTTGCGGAAAAAACGAGCATGTGCGCCGTTACAAGATGCATCAAATGATACCACATTTTAAGGTCTCGGGTTCATTGGTGACCCCTGAGGTCATTTCAAGTGACCCAAATTACGGGTCCGGTTTTTGATAGATAACTTCGCAACAAATGGTCGCAGAGCCGCGATTTTAGCATCTTTGTGTTTGCCTAGCTCCGGCGCGTCGAATGGTATGCTGTTTGTTCTGGTGAGGTCAGCTTAAGTCGCTGACCTCGGGTCAGCACACTGCCGTGTATTTGGCTCCGCTCCCCGACCGGGCGGCCCAGCCGGCAGCCAGCCGCCGGGCATCACGTGACCGCCCCGAGTCCGCGGCAAAGCCAACCAGCGCGGCGCTGGACAAACAGCGCCGCCACAGAGATGGTTAACAGTCCGGTCAGGCCACGAAGCTGGGTGAATGAGATCATATTGCACATCATTCGATTCGCAACGTCTTCCCGAGTCCATTGGTAGCTTTCCCGTCTCTCTAGCTCAATTTGATCGAGAGTTATTGACGAAAAACTCTTATGACCCTAGTGGCGTACGAATGACGTCACGCAAGGTCAACAATGCAAAAGTGAGGCAAAAATGACTTCAATTGAACTTTCAGTAACCAGTGATGTCACTAGGCAGCTTAACCACACCATTTGTAGGCTCTCTTCCGAAATCACAATTCGAGACCATTACGGTGACGCAAAATAAGTACATTTATAGAAAGAACACCTTCCTATTTTTTTTGCATACTACTTAAAAATGATCCAAAAATGTTTTTAAGTAAATAAAAATTCAAGAAAATTTGGTCTCTGAGGCATAAAAATGCAAATGAAAGGAAACTCGAGGTGTTATATATCAAAAAAAAATATAAATTTCAAAATTTTAAAAATGCATATTATTCTTTGTTTCAATGCAAGTTCAATGCCGTATAGCATTTGGCGTTTGGATTATCCGTCTTAGAGTTACAGCCCGCCAAACTTGGGGCTGCAACGCAAGATCCAAAACATGTTATACACTATAACTCAAAAACCACTCATCTGATAAGCCTGAAATTGTTACAGGAGGATTCAGAGCCCCTGATTACCCCTTAGACCAATTATTGTTAAAATCCGAGAGATGAGGGTGTCAAATTGGAAAAAAGTGGTACGATCTATCGTGGAATGCCCCAGGGGTCAAAATCAAAATAGCCAAATTAGCGGCTCTAGATGCGAAGACAGTTTTTTACGAATAACTTTTGAAGTAATCAAGCTAGGCCAAAACTTCGAGTACCATCGTAATTCTCTCGTCAATCCGCATCGAAAGATATATGTGTTGACCTTGAGAAGTCAAGTTCAAAGGTTGACCTCAGGTCACGTTACATCAGGTCGCTTGACCTCAAGGTCACGTGATTTCAGGGTCACCATGCATATCATTCGATGCACCTTGGCGAGCTGAACAGAATGAGACCATTTTTGCGGCTGTACCATTTTTATGTAAGGATTTATTCGCAAAAAAACGTTTGGTAACCTTTGATGACGTCACATGCTCTTACAGTTGACCAATCGGAAGTAAGGCATCAAAGCAGGGATGCGGAGCCGTGGAAATTTCAGACGGCTCCGGCTCCGGCTCCGGCTCCGGAGAAAAAATCGGCTCCGGCTCCGGCTCCGGCTCCGGGTGAAATGTCATGGCGGCTCCGGCTCCGGCTCCGGCTCCGAGTAAAATGATCCGGCTCCAGCGGCTCCGGCTCCGGCGGCTCCGGCTCCGGCTTCTACTCAGTACATCCCCTATGCGATCAATTAAATGCGGGTGGAAGAAAAAAGGCGATGGGATTGGTACACGTTGCTACTGTATTTGTATAACAAGGCTATTTTGAATACCACATTGTTTTACGCCTTGTACTGTCAAACCGAGCTAGGTAAATAATTGTTTCCTGTTCTACTGTTATCTATGTTTCCTCTTAAGAAAAGGAGCCGGAGTCGCCCCTTTTTTGACGGCTCCGGCTCCGGCTCCGGCTCCGGGCTATATTGTTTCACGGCTCCGGCTCCGGCTCCGGCTCCGGGCAAAATATGCCGGCTCCGGCTCCGGCTCCGGCTCCGCATCCCTGCATCAAAGTAGTCAAAGTTGGTCATGAATCATTTCATTTATGGTACAATTGACCATGAAAACTCGGCCGTCCCAGCATAGTGACCATGAGCGCACCGGCCAAGTTGCCCCGCTAGTCCCGGCCAAATTACCCCATATTGCCATTCTGAAAATTTTTGTCTATAAAGTCATCACGGCTTTACGGAATTAGATGAAATTGCCATTCGTTTTTAGCACAAATACTACATGTTATACCACTTTGTAAACAGAAGTAAAAGTTACCATTTTCTAATGAAATTAACGTTTTATTAATTTTGAATAAAACTACGAGGGGCAAAGTTTTGAAAATTGTCCTCCAGTTATTTTTACACATGACAAATGAATAGAGACTAGAGCTATTTCACTCACTTTTATTAGACATCGTACAGGTGGGGGCGGCCAATTTACACCACCGGCCAAAGTACCCCACTCTCCCCTACCACAGGAGGGAAATTAACAAACTGAAATAGTTAATGGCAGCCAATGATTCCCCGTAGGCAAGCGGTGGAAGATTGCCGAGTGGGTACTCTTCGCAGTCATCCGAGCTTACAACTTGTAGCTCATGGAAAGCCAGCTTATTCGCTCCACGAATACGGTCTCAGTCACTTAGCCGTCGATACCCCTAAATTGTCGGTACTTTTCTCGCACTAAGCCGATTAGTCAGCTTCCAGTGCGGGCAGGTACGAAGTTATGTTCACGTCAGAAATGGCTCATAAGCCCGCGGCGCAGCTGCGCTCGGACCTCTCTCTCTCGCCGTGTTACGTCTCCCAGCGATCGATCTGGGCCTAATCCAAACCACTGCTCGGCGCTCGCCATCCCTCCATGCCTGTGTCATTGGCAACGATATACAGGGTGTCCGGAAATTGTATACCCCTCCATCAGCTCGCCGCCATAATTAATAAACAAAGAGCCCCCGGGTCTTGGTTAAGGCACCGATTTATCCCCTGCCCTGTCCTACCCATTCCCTCATTCGCTTTGGCATTCCATAGATCAAGATGTCCAGAGTATCCGCGCTGATGTTCAGCCACGCCTTTCACAGGTTCCTATAAAGTCCGTTTTATGTGGGAGCTGGTTCAATCTTTCTGAGCTCTTCCTTCATGATTCCCCATAGGTTTTCGATCGGGATTAGGACAGAGGATTCTATTTGACTTCCCACTTCATTCCATTCTTCACCATACCTTCAGCGCGATGACGCTTTGTCAGAGTTTCTTTCGTCATAGTAGACACCATGCTCAGGTGCGAGTTACGCCCGCCAAACACTGGCCCCTGGCGCCTCGAAAGTGTCAAGGTCAGGTGACTGGGTTAGGCCATGTGACTAACGGACAGCTGAGGATAGCCTGAGGCACGGTCTTAGCAAATTTTTATCAGTTCTTAAATCGCACGGTGGGATTATACACGGTGGGTATAATATAATATATACGTAGCTGAATGAACAAGGAGCAAATAATTTCCGGACACCCTGTACACAGAAACTGATTGAAACTGACACCGACACTGACGTCAACTCAAACGGATACAGACACACACACACACTGACACCAAACCCGAACGATAATTATGGCGCTGACACCGACAGTGATGACACCAAATCCGACCGATAATTATGACAGTGACACTGACACCGACACACACCGATACCGACCGATAATTATGACACTGACACCGACACTGACCTGAGAGTGTGCCATCAGCCATCAGGGTCTGGAGCCGGTCGATGGCGTCCTGGGTCTTCAGACCGAACTGCGCGGCCAGCTCCTCCAAAAGGACCACCTTTACCCGCTGAGGGAGCGACGGACAGTGGTCAGAGACGGCGGTAGGACCACTTTTACCCGATAAGGGAGAGGGGACAGTGGCCAGAGACGGCGGTTGGACCACATTAATGCTGAGGGACGAACAGGACGGGTCTGAGACCTGACGAAACCAGAAAGTGGAGATGGGAACGACATGGAATTTTAGAAGAAAAACATGCGTAAATTCGAGCCGTAGAGTGGGAATCCTGCAAATGGTGAAGACAGGGGAAATTAAACGCAGGGTTGACAATTATTTTGCGTAATGACTGTGCCGATGACTATTAATTGAAACTTTACAATGGATATTATGTCTCCTGAATATATGGCGAGGTAAAAGAAAGGAGAATGAGATAGGTCAAATGCAGTCAAAGCGGATGAATCAATGCTAGCACGAAAAACAATTGATAAGTCAAGGAAACGTTGACAAGTGACGGCGACATGATCTAATTACGTATACCCACTGATCGCGCACTTAGAGGTAGAAGATATAGACAATACCTCGACAACCGATGGCGAGAACTGACAAAGAAACATCATCATGTCTATAAGTCATGATATATCATGATAAAAACCGGCACGCATTTTGTCAGGTATCGAACGAGCAAAACTAAATAGACTGACGAATAACAAGGCATCTTACTTTACCGCAATGCCCCAGACTGAGGGCGCCCAACCGCGCGCTATTTACCTTGATGTAGTTGAGGAACTCCTGCAATTTGCTTTCCTTCTCATCCTCGAGCTCTTCATCGAAGCCCTCCTCCTCCACGCCGAACGCCTCCTTCATCTTCAGGTACTCCTCGTGCTCGCGACGCTCTCGCTCCTCGCGCTCCAGCCGCTCCTGCTCCTGGCGGGCGCGCTCCTGCTCCTCCTCGCGCTCCTCCTGGCGGCGGCGCTCCTCGGCCTGCAGCTCCTGACGCTCGCGCCGCTCCTCTCTCTCCCGCTCCTCTGCCTGACGGTGCAGAGCGGCGGTGACGTCAGCTCAACCGGGCTCAGGATGGCGACAAGGAGGGGAGGGGCGGCCCGTCCGCAGAACCCGGCCACAGACACCAGCTGAGCCTAGCACAACAACCCAGAGAGAAGTACGGCCTGCCGGCTGTCGAGTAATCCGACCAAGGCACGCGTGCCTTGCGTGTATCGAGGCTCGAGTGTGGCGAGTTGGAGTGGCGGCTTGCGAGGATATTTCGGGGAGGACGCAGGTGGCAGACGCCTACACGCCAGCTCTGGGAACAGAGAGGCGCAGCAGGTTTGACTGGGAATCAATTGAAGCACTCCCTCCCCTTCTCTCCCACTCCCTCCCCTTCTCTCTCTATTTCTCCTCACCTCTCTCTGCGCCTTTTTCTCGGCCTTTGCCTCCAGTTTGGCGAGCTTCTTCTTTCCGACCTTGCCCTCGGGCAGCTCCACGGCTCCGTGGTCCTCGTTCCCCGACCCGTCCGAATCGTCACCCGCTAGTGGACGGACAGAGAGCCCCCGGGGTCAGTTCTGGTGTAATACACGGAGGTCTTACTGTCGAATATCACACCTGACCAGTGAACAAACTGACCAGACTATCAGCACATGAAAGATAAATTCGCCTCCTTGCAAAATGCACTGTATACTTCGGTCTTGAGCAGTATGATAGAATCAAGCAGCTGTCTGATCACAATAATTCTAGAGGTACAACGCAGATTTGCAAGACTAAAAATGCAAAAAAACACCTATCACTTTATAGGCGTTTGTGACATGTGATCGGCTGACCTGACCGCACAACGATACTGGCTCCTCGTGGAATGCTCGGAGTCTCCTTACCTGCCATCCTCATCCTGGCCCGGTTCCTGGCGGTCGCGGCCCGCCGCGCCGGCTGCACCACGGCGCCAGCGCCCCTAGCGGCGCCATCCCGAACTCGAGCTTCATTGGCAGGTGGCTCTGTCAAATGCACCACCCCATGTGAATTGGTTTAGTTGACACTAAAGCACACAAGGTGGTGACTTGGATGCACCAACAATTTGTTAAATAAAATAGGTAGATAGGCATGACAAATTTTCACATGCTTTAATATCTGAATGGACTGATTGATGAAAGGGGAAAGGCTGATGTACACTTCATTCACTAATGTACAGAAGACCACCAAAGAAGAAAAAACTGGAAATAAAAATGAAGTTCTGGTGCAGTCTGGCCTGTGCAAAAGCTTCTGGTTCTGGCTTATTGATCAGGGGACATGTCTTTCCTAGCCAGAAATAATGATATGAGCTTGTTTTTCTGCTACCACCTACATGGCCCCTTAATAAAACACTGTTATGCATTGCACCCACGCCCGCAGCCTTCCGTTCATCTCAAGTGTTTCTTAAAAATTAAAAACTCCCTGTTGTACCTACTGCTTGATCCATAGAGCAGGTATTGATAGAAGGCTTAACCTAGGCAGCTAACCATCATGATCAGCCCAAACCAGCTAAGTAAATTAGTAATTGGGCCCTGTTTCACAGCACTGCAATACAGAGTGCTACGCATAGCAAAGTATTGGGTTTCCATGTAAAAATCAACAAACTTGGATGCTCGTAATGCTGAAGGGTCGAGACTAATTCCACACCAATACACCGCTACACGTAGCTCACTAGCAGCGTGCTATGGAAACAGTGCTATCAGTAGGCGGAACTATGGTCAAGCGTACCCATTTTCGGGAACGCATTTTCGTTCCCATGTTTGGAAACGATAAACCCAAATATGGGAACGCCATGTAGGAATTATTTAAAACAAGAAAAAGAACCGTTAAATGACGTCCAAAAAATATAAAACGATCGTGAACCGCCTGATATTTGTCTCAATATTGTTGGGAAAGAGTTTGATATTGTAAGGCCCATCGTAGTTTCAAATCGTTCCCCTATTTCTAAAGCAGTCCATCATCCGGGCCGCGAACCCAAATTTGGGAACGCTATCGTACACTGGCGCTGCAAGCGTTCCTTATTATGGGAACGGCGTACCCAAAATTGGGAACGATTTCACTGACGCCTTTCAGGGGCTCTTTTCATTAACAAGCATCATGTCCAACGCCGCAAATTATTGTTAAGCAACAATCATCAGATGACCTTTCCGGCAAGACCGTCGCATGTTTCGCCCGGTCTTCTGCGCTTTTATTCCCGTCGATCTCGCAGCGGGCACGCCCCCCTCTGCAGGATTACGTAATTCACAACGCTCAGCGATGTTCAACAAGGTCTTCCATACCTATATCCACCGTCCGCGCCGAGGGTGGAGACATGTCAAGCACCTGTCTGTTTATCACCGATAGTTGACGAGCACAAGGAAGTATCCAAAAATGGGAACGCTGAATATGTTACACCCTCAAAACACCTAGTCCCATGGAAAATCTAGTTTTTTTCTTTCTTAATGAGTGTAAGTGGCAAAAGGCCTGGTAGGATGGGCACGAGGAATGATCGAAATCAGCATAAAAATTATAAATAAGCCACACAGAGCGACCTATATAAGAGAAATTCCCCCAAAACGATCATGCTTAGAAACACGGAAGACAAAAACCACGCTCATGACGCAGCTCCTTATAAAACAATGCTTAACAGCTAGCATCCAAATAAAATATGTCTTTCCGGGCTGATAAAATACAGCTGAATAATTTTAAACCACTGAAACTGAGTTTACAACAGCAGATCGGTAAAATCACTGACGTTCCATGCGGTCGTGCGCCCCGAGACCAAAAGTCAACAATATTACCTCGGGACTGTCCGCGTGTTCGCTTGCATATGTCAGCATCTGGTGTCGCTAGTATGAAACTTCATAACCAGGCGAAAATTATTATACTTGACCTAAAAATGTAAAAACGCTTCATTTTCCTTTAAATTGCATGTTAAATGTAGTATAACCCATGTTTTCACCATTCCGTCATTTCAAAAAAATCATTAAAAATATCATTCGACGGTCAATTTCTTTGTTCAACGGTCAGATTAAAGATAATTTTATAGAGATTCAGTAGATACTTAAATTAGCGTGCACTTTTTTGAGACGTGATGCACTAATGAGTTTTAGTGGGCGAACGGCCGAAAAATTACCTTCCGTTCCCGTAAATGGGAACGCCCGTTCCCATATTTGGGAACTCCGTTCCCAAAAATGGGAACGTTCCTATATTTGGGTACTCATGACCATAGTTCCACCTACTGCTATGGAAACAATTAACAAACTGACGAAAAATTAAGTAGCACCTACCTAGTCATTCAAAGTAGCCTCAACCACCACAGGTTGAGTGTAAGATCCTATATATTGAGACAAAATTAAGGAATGTCATCAGTTTTTTACCATATAGGTGGGTACCAAGGTAGGTAGGTACTTCAAAATCAGTCAGTCAGCTCAGTGAGTGGTTCATGAGAACTCACCTGTTTGCCGGGATTTGATCAATGCCAGAATAAATATACAGATTGTCAGAAGTGGGGCAAGCACCAGTAAAATGCTAAGAAAATCCATTTCAAGCATATAATGGATATAAAAAGTAGCTCAATTTGTACCACAGCTGTCTTGTGATTTTGGAGATTGTCAAGTTTTTTTTTTATGTAACGGAAACTGTCGCAGCCGCGCCATACAAGCAAACAGGTGACGTCATTTTTGTCGGAAGATTTTAAGCGATTGGTCAAGTAAGAATTTTATTAGCAAATTGCTAGGCAACAACCGATCACATTCAGGCAACTCAAACTGCCGCAGAAACTGAACAAAATGAGCTACAAATTGCGAGCAGCTGGCAGCATTTCCGAGCTTTCCGAGTTGACATTTCTCGGGTGAAATGCTTACTTCGAAATCTTAGCTGCGTTGCGGCATTGGCGGTTATGTGCGGCGTGTATGCCGCATGATTAGTAAGCGGCGACCACTAAATTAAAAATTCAATAGCTTCGACCTGTTTTCAATGGATAACACTGCATACCAAAAATGTCCATCGCTCTCGTCATAGGATATTTAGATTTAAATAACTAACTTATCTACATCATTGTTTTGAACCAAATTAATACTCAGCCGCGAACGTATAAGGTATAACCCCTTGCCGTTTCACTCCTGATCAAGCTAGAGCTTCGCGGAAAAAACGAGCGTGTTGCCCGTGACGAGAGAAAGCCGATGATACCCAATTTTAAGGTCCTAGGTTATCGGTTGACCTTCCAGGTCAGGTCAATGACCCAAAAGGCGGGAAAATTGGGACCTGTTAGAACGTCGTAGTGTGGCTGCTATGGGGTTTTTCGGGGTGCTGATCACGAATATCATGCTAGTTTTGATCACAGATGATGTCTTCATTCATTTAGGCCAGGTCGGGTTAGGTCAGGTCAGGTCAACCAGTAGAGGTCCTGCCAGGTATTTGTAGTAGGTGTCAACCGCCTCTGACAGCCTCGTAACATGTTACGAAGGCACCAAAACTACTTTGTAAACGTTCATGTGGTTGCTTAATTCGAATTCAGCTCGAAAAAACTGACCTAGAAACATGTCAAACTCGAAAAAGTGAACCGAGGTCACCAAAGGTCAATGACCTGACCTGACCTTCAGGTGACCTTGACACCCACCCTAATGCATGGGGGCAACACAGGGTTACTTTTAAAGGGGGGGAAAGGGGGAATTTCCCCCCTCGAAAATTCCGATCCCCCTTTCAAATTGTGTCAGAATGGCTAGGGGGGAAGGGGGAATTTCCCCCTTTCAAATTTATTTTTGAGCCCATTTTCAATTACTTCGCTATTCAGATTCTATAATCATCGTTATTCAGATTCCAGTCATCAATCAACGTTGCTGGCGTAATATATTATCAATGGCAGTGGCACCGCCCGGGCGAAACTTGGAATATCCGGCAGACCTAAGCACTGGCACAGCGTGTCTTCATAATCGGAGACCCGGGTGTGACTCCCCCGCAGCGCCCGAAATCGACGAAAATTTACAGTTTTTTAGGAATAAAACGAAAACTAAACAACTTTTATTAGGAAAAGTTTGTTTTAAACTGCGCAGCAGTGGGTAAGGAACCGAAATCCGATGAGTTTTTGGAATTTAGAGAAAGTTTTTTTTTTGGGGGGTATGCCCCCCGCAGCGTCCAAGATTACCTTTCTGGATCTGCCAATGATTCCCCCCCTCAACTTTTCCTGTAAAAGTAACCCTGGGGCAACATCATATCACATGTTTGAACGCTTGAAACCACGAAAAGACTGCAAACGCGCTGCTAATGCGAGCCGACATACGCTGAATCGCGGTTCCGGCCAAACATGGTCTCGAAAAGTAGGTCACAGGTCAAAGGTCATTTGGGTCAGGGTCATGAAATTTTCAGGATGGGTGTTAAATTGATCAATGCGAGGGTACTGAAAGTTTCGTCGCGATCAGCCGCTTTTTAAGCGAGTTATTCGCGAAAAACCTTAGGGGGGTTGCATCAACCCCCCCCCCCCCTGTGCGGGCGAGGTCATGTTTTGATAGCAAGACTGAAACAGACTTTTTTGGGTAGCCAGGAAATCGCATGCCAGAGCCTATTCAAATTCTTTTATCGGCCTTTATATGCACCAGTCGCATACAGGTACGGGATTTAGCATACGATTTCCAGACAATCGAACGACTGTTTGGAGACAACAAAGGAAGGAATGAGTGAGTTAAGTTGAAAGTATTAATTTGGTTCAAAATGATGATGTAGATAACCTAGTTATTTAAAGCTGAATATCTTATGACGAGAGCGGTTGGCATTTTTGGTATGCAGTGTTATTCATTGAGAACCGGTCGGAGCGTTTGAGTCTTTAATTTAGTGGTCGCCTCTTACTAATCATGCGGCATACACGCCGCACATAACCGCCAATGCCGCAACGTAGCCTAGATTTCGAAGTAAGCATTTAGTCCCACCCACATTTCTCCGTCGGAGCCCCGTCGTCGGGGTGGTGGTGGTGTGCTGCTTGAATTTCCACATAGATACGGTGTTTTATCGGTTGTCCAAGGCTCCAAGGCGGTTGTAAGGTGGTTGCAAGGTATGTAAAACTACTGGTGGCTATGTCCAAGGCTATATAATTCCTTAGTGTCCTTGGTAGCTGGTTAGTGGTTACCTACGTTTCTTGGGTGTGGTGTAGAATGATAATGAGGTGTTAGGTAGTTTCCCATTTTGCTCTTTTTCGATGCATCCTGTGGGTGATAGATTTGTAGCTGTAGTGTCATCAACTCAGCTAGTTAGCTCTGGCACACAGCATAGTCAGTGTAGTGTAGTGTAGTGGACAGTCCTGCTCAGTCTAAGACAAAGAAGAAGTGCAGGTAAATGTCAAGTTTAAGTCCTAAGAAGATTTCATTGATAAATTTTTCATATTTTTACATTATTTGACATCCTGAATCCAAAAATGATACTCATATGTCTCGCAAATAAAAGAAAAAAACATAATCAAACCTGACCTAACCTTACCTACTTACCTATAACCTACTAACCTACAACCTACAAACCTACCCTAACCTAACCTAACCTACAAACCTACCTACCTACAACCTAAAACCTACAAACCTACAACCTAACCTAAAACCTAAAATTTTTGCTGTTTTATATTCGTATCAACAGCGCCACAATTGTAGTTAGGACCTAAACTTGACATATACCGAAGTGCATGTAGGCTTGGTGACAGAGTCTGGTCTGACAGTACATATCTCGGCCCATTAAAATATTGCTTTGGCTTGTCACACCACTGCTTAAGTTACTGCATTGAATCACTGCTGAAATTGATTCAGTAATTTTTGATTTCTTTATTAAACTGAAGCTGACATACATGCAATTATTTGAAATAAATTTTGGTCATTTCTGTTTTTAATGTCCTGAATCTGTAAATGATGCCTTTTAGTGCAGCAAGTATCATTAAAATTTATTGAGGTGAGGTCATCTGTGAGCTGATCCAACCTAATCTGACCTAACTTCGCCTATTCTAACGCAACCTAACCCTACCTAATGTAACTCATCTACTCATCCAAAGTCCAAACCTGACGTAACACATATGTAACAGCAGGCCAGATTGGATTAAGTCAGATGAGGTTGTGTTGATTGGCCATACTATGCTCATTTGATTATCATGATCTTTGCTGCATCACTGAGCAATTTGTTAAATGAGAGGCCAAAATGAGCCCACCAAGACAGCCTGATGATGTTGCACAGAAAGAGTGCTCTCTGTGAGGAGTTTGAAGGTTTTGCAGAGTTGATGAGCCCTCAAATTGTGGAGTTTATTCAAGCTGATCCCTCCCCCCTCTAAGAATAAGTGGTCAATCTTAAACCCTTGTTCTTTGTTTTATGCTCTTGCTCCTGTAAGAGGTCTGGCTTAATGGGCTTGGATAGGTGATCCAGAGTTGCTCCTCAGCTTAATGGGCTAGGATAGGTGATCTAGAGCTGCTCCTCAAGTACCTTATGCTTGTATCTTTGATACTTGCTCAGAACAAGAAATGTCAAACAAGAAATGTCAAAGGAAAAACCATCACAGTCACAAATCATTGAACCATGAGGCAGCCTTAAAGTGCGATGCCCAGAGGATTTGGACAATTTGTTGAGCTGGGGTCTGAGCCAGAGTCCCTGAAAAATATCAACTCTGCAGTCTTGGTGCTGATATGATTCAAATGATTTCTATTAACTCATGATGATACTCTGTATTATCTTGATTTATCGATGTTAACATCGATCAGGGCTCATATTATCCATGGTTTATCGATGGTGCTAAGTATGGATTGGTATCGTCTTATCGTTGTGGTGAAAGTTTCTTATGTACGGTTTCAGCAGACGACGTGTCTGGTGTCTTCAAAATAATATTTGGAAGTGGAAGTGACATCTCATAATCGCAATGGCTCAGAGAGAAGAAACGCAACTCGAAATGGAGGACCTGTCACCGGTAAGTTCAATCCAAATAGACTGCAGTGGCCCAGAATTTGTAAGACTTCAGTAACTTCAGACTATACTCTGTTCCAACTTCCATATCAAGCTTGCGGCCGAAGTGCCATGCTGAAGGCAGTGCGTAATTTCTGTACATACTGCTCTTACATTCAAAGACGCAAAATATTGAACGGAGGAGCTAACTGTCGAAGGAACTCCGACCGCAAGCTCGATATGGAACAGACTATAGCTCTCGGGAGCTGCTGACCATGGTTGTTGGATCAAGTTCAAGTAATATGACCACGCCATGCTCACTCCCGCAGCCACTGATGCACCGCCAACTGAGTCTTGTTGTCCTTTATGGGCCTAACAATTGTTGGCTTGTGCTGCATGTCTGCCGTCATCTAGGTAGACGTAAATTTAGTATTCCTTGAACTGCAGGAATACTTCTCCGAGACCAACGGCTCATTATGCCAGCGTGTGGGATATTTACCATCATGAAGCCCATCGTTTTTATGTCAGTTATTTTTTACGTGGAACATTTATGTATCACCTCACCTCACCACCATTTGTTAATTTTGAGGTCCCTACGCGCGATAGCTACGTCGCCGCCGTGCTGACCAGCCCCGAGTCGCCGGCTGAGCGGGCCGCTTATTCGCCAACTGTATTACACGAATCGGCCGACCAATTGCGTGCTCCTTGGGTGACGTCATACGCCAGCGGGCCGGCTTGTAGCCCGCTCAGAGCCACTCGAAACGCCCACGGCCCTCTCGGGCCGCTGACCCCACGCTGCTCTCTCGGAGACCGGCCGGTACCCTGCTGGTGGATGACTCACTCGGGCGACCGGCCGCTGGGCTGGCCCAGGCCGACCGACCGACAGACCGCTGAGCTGGCCGGCCGCTGAGCTGAGCTGGCCGGCCGCCGCTGGGCGGAGCCGGTCTGCCGGGTGACGCGGCGAAAACTATCGGTATTGTCGGAGCTGGGAGCTCAGTAAGCTGGTTTCACGCTCAGCGATGGTTGCAACAAAGGTTAATTGCGTGCATATGAGAGTGTCGTTGTGCTCCATTGATGAGTCTACGTCTGAAACAAAAATTGATGCATTTTAAAACAAGTGTCGGAACAATTTTTCTAGCCATTTTGTGTGCCATTAATCTTGTCATTATGTACATGTATGCCAGCTGGTATTGATTTTGCCAGCCTTCATCGAGTCATGCAGCTAGTTATTGCATCTACGATAGGTAGTGATTGGCTATTTGGAAAACTCAGACTCAGAACAGCCCTGCGATAGCCAGCCAGCCGCCGCTCGACTGGGCTGTGGAACTGAAATATTTGCTGAGTCGTTAAATTTTCTTTTCAACGTCAGTTTTCAGAGCACGACATGGACACTTTGGTGCTCTGAAGCCCTTCCGGCTACGATGTTTCGCAATGCATTGCGGAATATATGTCATGACGCCATACCTTGGACTGGTCGTTGTGACGTCAGTGGTTCTTGCCGGATGTCACCAGTTCACCATCGCCCTTGTACCTTTTCATTGGAATCGAGAGTAGGTACCTTCCTCATGTATATAGGTAATGCCTAGTTCCCCTGTTGATTGCGCAATGCGTCCTATTCGACACCATGCATCGTGGCCCGATAGCAGAGTTGGATGGTGCTCGAGTCGTATCATTTTGACAACTACAGGTGTCGGGTGCTGAAATAAGGTATACATGGTCGCAATAGTCAAGGAGTTCAGTGCGAAAAGTGAAAACGATAAGGAATATACGAATCTTAGTATTCAATGATGTTTAGTGAACTGCACTTGAACTGTACTTATTTCAGTAGAATAAAACTCGCATAATGCGCAGTATAATCGAGCAAAGTCACGAGAACTAGGAAGCCATGGCTCACCAACTCAAATAGTACGGTCGACCATATTTTGATCAGGATGGGTCAATGTCTATTAGATTTCACTGAAAAAATCGATGTTATGTTAACTAAGATTACTTTACCACTAATGTTAACCGTCGCCCGGGAACGCTACAAAGTACTGTTGGTTTGGTAGCGTTCAGGTACTTACACTGTTGTGTGGCTTCTGGCGGTCATGGAACATGTGTCAGCGCTGTAATTTGGCTGGATGCCACTAGACAGCAAATAAACCCCTCTTAGCATGCATTGCCATTTCCGCCCACTGAGTTTCGTTATTCGTCCCTACGCCAATCTTCCCCCGCAATGGTTCACATCCTGCGCACACTGGCGGCCCGCCGAACGCTGTTTGTCTGGATATTTGACGGTCATGTTTGCTGTCGCCGTGTTTGTCTCGCAGCGTGACTGGAAGGCGGTGTTTGACCGGTTCGACCTGGACGGGGACGGCTCTGTCCCCCTGATCGAGTTCCGGCGCTACCTCTCGGACCCAGGCCTGCGCGGCCGCCTGCCTGACTCAGTGCTGGATGACATCCTCGCCAAAGCCGACCGCAACATCGACGGTGTCATCAGCTACGAGGAGTTTCTGCAAATGGTGAGCGTGCCGGCCTCGAAATGACCAGCGCCCCGGGACGGTCCTCGAAATACGGAGTGGGTTGTAGGGTTCGCCGAAATGGCCTCCGCAACGGGGTTCGATTGGATGTGGGATCCCGGAAATGGCGAGAAGTGGATTTTAACGACGCAGTGACAAGGGTGACTGGGGTGCATGAATGTGGGTTGCATCAGATGAAACGGGTGACGATGGTGTAATGACATTTCTGGGTACGCCTGATATAGGAACAGCCAGGACTCGGCTTTGGAGTTGAATCTTTGCAACTGAGCGTGAACGATTTTACACATCAGTCAAAGTATACCACATGACAGCAGCTTCCTCAAAATGTTCTATTGTTTCTACTCCTTCACATATTTTTACCCGATTTCTTGGTAATTGTAAAAATCGATTCGTGTTATTTATGTGAACGACATACCTGTGCGTATTTTCAGCAGTTGCTATACTTGATCGTTTGTTTTCCAAAAACTCAACGGATCAAGGTTCACAGGTTCACTCAACTCACAGGTTCACAGACCACTTCACAGCACACTGCGTGGCTCAAACGTAAAACGTATGACGAACATCTGCGTTATTATTAATCCCTCCGCCCTCCCGCCATGTTGCACCTGTAACAAGTAACACCTCTCTCAAATTGACGTCATTTCCCTGGCAGGTGGAGGGGCAGAACCTGAGCCCCATCGGTGGCGGTATGTTCCGCTCGTTCCTTGTGCGCGCCGCTTACAGCGTGGTGCCCAAGTCGCAGCGCACGCGCCGCTACGTAGACCAGTACTCGTGCTGCCCGCCTCCCGTCTTTATGGTGCTCGTCTCGTTGGTTGAGGTGAGTGACGGGCTCATTTGAAAGGGAGAAGTTGTTGAAGGGGAGGTGTTGGGAAAAGTTACTGGTCATATGATTCATTCGGAGCGGTGTTTTGGTGCGTCCTTATTCTGCTTATTTTGGTTGAGTGTGCCACTACGTGGTTATTAAACTTGCTTTAAAGCTTGTTCGCTTTGGGGAAGTTATGTGGATGGGATGGGTAATTTTATTTGGTAATTGTAAGTGTTAGAAGTCAATTTGTAGCGCAAATGCCAATGCCTGCCGTCTTTCATTGAGTGAGTTGCTGATCGGCACTCCCAGGCTCACTTCCCTCCCTTTCTTACATGACGATCCTTCCCTCCGGCTCTCCGCCCCTTCTGACCGTTTTCCCCGCCGAATCTCGGTTTCCCTCCCCCTCTCCATTCTGACTTTCTTCGCCCCTTCTCTGTTTCCCCTCTCTCCCATCTGACTGACTTTCCCCTCCTCTCATTTGACTCGCCTGACTCTCCCTTCCCCCTCCCTCTCTCCCATCTGACTCTCCCCTCGCCCGTCCCCGTGTCCCCAGCTGGTGCTGTTTATAGTGGACGGGATCCGACTGGGCGGCGTCACGGCCAGCGGTCCCGTGGATACCGACTCCGTGCTCATCTACAACCCGCGCCGCCGCCGCGAGGCCTGGCGCTTCCTCTCCTACATGTTCGTCCATGTCGGGTACGTGTCGTCGCCGCCGCTGCCATCACCTCTCGGGCTTGTCCGTGACGAAGAAGAGACGAACAGTTGCAACTCATTAACAACTGTTAAGCGGACAGCTGCGATGCTTACGATAGTTAGTTACGATACCAGTTAGTTACATAGTTACGATTAACAGTAGTTCAGATGTGATAAAAGAAAAAGCGTACCTAATACGGTTTACTTTGTAGTTACCTACACTGCGGTGGGATTAACGGGACATCCTGTTATTGTACTAATCTTTCTTCGTGAACTGTTTTGATCTTTCGCCTCGCCCCGTTTTGTTCGCCGTCTGTCTGGTCTGCCGGCCGCTGACGGTGGCCTATTCCGCAGGTACGTCCACATCACGACCAACATGCTGGTGCAGCTGCTGGTGGGCCTGCCGCTGGAGCTGGTGCACCGCTGGTGGCGGATCGCCATCGTCTACTTGTGCGGCGTACTGGCTGGATCGCTGGGAACATCCGTGTTTGACCCCAAGGTTAGTGCCGAGCCGCTCCTCGCACGGGAAACGAGATAGATGGGACGGAACGAGACTCGGCAGATCCAGGCGACTTTGTTAGAGGCTTAGATAATATAATAATAACGGTGTAGTTCTCGAGTGTTTTGGTTATTGCATGTTTTCACAATGAGAATGGTAGATCACGGATGGTTCTCACTCGCGAAAACCACTCTCATTACCGGCAGTGGGTACCCCATTCCGTCTGTGTTTAGTAACCGCTCACTCCCACTACAGGTATTTCTGGCGGGTGTCTGTGTTTATTGTTTAGTGACCGCTGACTCCCTCTACAGGTGTTTCTGGCGGGCGCCTCTGGCGGCGTGTACGCCATCCTGTCTGTGTTTAGTGACCGCTGACTCCCACTACAGGTATTTCTGGCGGGTGTCTGTGTTTATTGTTTAGTGATGTCTGACTCCCACTATAGGTGTTTTTGGCGGGCGCCTCTGGCGGCGTGTACGCCATCCTGTATGTTCTCTGACCGCTGACTCCCACTACAGGTGTCTCTGGCGGCGTGTACGCCATCCTGTCTGTGTTTAGTGATGGCTGACTCCCACTGTAGGTGTTTTTGGCGGGCGCCTCTGGCGGTGTGTATGCCATCCTGTGTTCGCTAACCGCTGACTCCCACTACAGGTGTTTTTGGCGGGCGCCTCTGGCGGCGTGTATGCCATCCTGTCTGTGTTTAGTGATGGCTGACTCCCACTACAGGTGTTTTTGGCGGGCGCCTCTGGCGGCGTGTACGCCATCCTGTCTGTTCTCTGACCGCTGACTCCCACTACAGGTGTTTTTGGCGGGCGCCTCTGGCGGCGTGTACGCCATCTTGGCGGCTCACCTGGCTGACTTGATCATGAACTGGGCCGAGATGGAGCTGGCCATCGTGCGACTCCTCTTCCTGATGGTGCTGGTCGGCACTGACGTGGGTGTGGCCGTGTACGGCCGCTACACGGGCACCGGAAACAACCAGGTGAGAGACACCGGAAACAGTGGGGAAGGCACCGGAAACAGCGGGTGTGGCCGTGAACAACCGCTACACGGGCACCGGAAACAACCAGGTAAGAGACACCGGAAACAGTGGGGAAGGCACCGGAAACAGTGGGTGTGGCCGTGTACGGCCGCTATACGGGCACCGGGAACAACCAGGTAAGAGACACCGGAAACAGTGGGGAGGCACCGGAAACAGTGGGGAGGCACCGGAAACAGTGGGGAGGCACCGGAAACAGTGGGTGTGACCGTGTACGGCCGCTACACGGGCACCGGAAACAACCAGGTAAGACACCGGAAACAGTTGGGAAGGCACCGGAAACAGTGTGTGTGGCCGTATATGGCCGCTACACGGGCACCGGAAACTGGTGGGGAAAGAAAACAACCATAGTGATTACGGAGCGAGCGAAGCGAGCGGAGTCTTACGTAGAATAACGGAAATTTCTGAGTATGAGCGGCCGGCCGGCCGGCCGGCCGGCCGGCCGTGGTCACGCTTTTGCGACGCTTATATCTCAGCAACCACTTGACCGATTTACATGGGGTAATTTTTGTAGGGTAGCTTCATTCCTTCTGCCAAGTATTGGACTATTCCCGATGCATGTGGGTGACCCCTTATGCACGTGCCACGTGCAAAACGAAGAGGTGTCAGTTTTGTAACAATTGCAATATCTCGGTAACTACTGGGCCGATTGCGCTGAAAGTTGGCACGTAGGTAGGCACCCACTAGGCAATGCATATCCATGTGCCACAGTGGGGGTGCTGCTGCACGTGCGCACGTGCAGGGGTCGATTCCAGATCTCGAGAACGGCTGAACCGATTGCGCTGAAATTTGGTATATAGTTAGGGATCGGTTAGTAGGGTGCAGTGCAAAAGTCAGTTGGGACCCATTTCGCACGTGCGCACGTGCAGGGTGCCGCTTCCAGATCTCGAGAACGGCTAGGCCGATTGTGCTCAAATTTGGCACATCGTTAGGGACCGGCTAGTAGGGTGCCGTGCACAAGTCAGTTGGAGGTACCCCTCGAAATTTCGCACGTGCAAGGCTCACCCTCTCGCTCGCTCCGTCAATCGCCCCAAAAGGCGTTATACTGGTATTAGGAACGGAGAAAGTGGGCTATGCACCGGAAACAAACAGGTGTAGGGGGGGGAGGTACCGGATACAGTGGGGCACCGGAAACAACCAGGTGAGACACGGAAAGAGTGGGGAAGGCACCGGAAACAGTGGATGTGGCCGTGTACGGCCGCTTCACGGGCACCGGAAACAACCAGGTGAGATACAGAAACAACCTTATTAGGAACGGAAACAGTGGGGTATGCACCGGACACAAACAGGTATGGCATCAGGAACAACCTGGTGAGGCGTCGCAAACGGTCAGATGAGGCACGAGAAAGCGAGTCAGGTGAGGGGCGGGATGAACACAAACAAAGATGGTGGGAGAAGTGGTATGGCCAGAGGAAACACTGGGAAGGCGGATAAGCAATGTGTATTCGTCACACCTGAGCAGCCAGTAGCCAGGTACGCCAACGGAATCAACGAGGATAGGGAACAGAAATGACGAGATTAAGAACAAGTATGGTTGAAGCAGGGCAGGAACTGCCTGGTGAACTCAGTGAAACAAGGTCCACGCCAGTTATCGCCTTCATTTTCAATTTTTTGTATTATGTTCGAGTGCTTTATACCATCCGGCATGCCCTCAGAGGCGTATTGAGGTAAATTGTTGCGGCTATAAAACCTCATATAATCCCAAACGGTGCTTACGTTGAAGGTTCCACCGCCGATGTTCCCAATCAATTAGCACTTAGCCTGTGCAGTGTGCACTGTGCAGTGTGCATCTCCTACCCGCACCCGTGAGCCCTGACTGACCCCTGCCCTGTCTCTACCCTCTGCAGGTGAGCTACACGGCCCACCTGGCCGGAGCGCTGGCCGGCGTGCTAATCGGTAACGTGGTACTGCGCAATCTGCGCGTGCACAAATGGGAGCGTGTCGTCTGGTGGGCCTCGCTGGTCGCCTTCCTGGTGCTCGTGCTGGCCGGAGTAATCGTGAACGTGGCGGCGCCGGAGGGCTTCTACCCGAAGCAGGAGATCTAGGGTGCGCGGAGAGGAAGGATGAGGCGCGTCACGGCAGACGGCAGAGCGTGGGGGTGGTGAAGCGGCGGCAATGGGGCCACGGCACTGGCAGGGACGATATGATAGATGGCTGCGGGCAGGGCATTGTCAGAGCTTGTCGGGGTGGCTAGTGAGCGGCGCCCGGGGGTGCTCGCTGCGCACTCCCTAGGGATACTTTCATGTGTTCAACAGTGTCACAAAATGGTATCACATCTATCCCAGCATGCCTCATCTATTCAAACGCCCGATAGACACTTGGAGTGCCGGCGATCGGTGCCTAACTTCTGCCGGCGGTGTCGTGCCTTTTACTCCATCTCCATGGCAAGTGCTGCCACGTCCGTCCTCCCGGCCTTGTATACTGGATGGTCCACTCACCACTGGATGGGTTGTAGGCCCAGTGGCGCAGTACCAGCTGTCGTACACACCTGCAGTGGCGAGACGCACCCCACCACCGGACCATGACTCGCCGCGTGCCCCAGTACAACGTCGTACACATTGACTGTCCGCGCCGCGTGTGACCAGAATTAGTGTACGATTGTGCTTCAGTCGTGTTCTTCGTGTCTGCGTTCTCTGTATGTGTTCATTGTTCGACTTTTTTACTGAACAGTCGGCTGTCTGCTGCTTGATGGGGGTGACTTCCTATCCTTGCTTTTACATGATTATGGTTTTTAATTAAATATTTTGCTCACATTTCAGAAATGATATTTTAGATAATTTCGCGTTGATTAGGCTGCGATATCAATAACCACAGACGTAATTCGGATATTTCTGCAGATAATACGGATGAATGCCAAGCTACCAGACGGGTTTCAAAGTAGCCAATGATTGTTTTCCCAGATATGGTAGGTTCGCTGCATATCTAAATGTAAAGACACCCGTGTACCTCGTGAGCGTCATTTTTTATATTTGTAGATCCTGAAGCATAATTTTTCCGACTGTTCTGTTTCTGCACCAGTTGTATTGCGTCGATTGGGTCACAAATGCATCGATGATTGTGTGCCTCAGCTGTTACCAATCGATTGCGATTTTCTCTTGCTGTCACTATTGTGGGGCCTGCATCGCTAGTTAGTGCACGCTTTGCTCAGGATATCGGAGTCTGTGCTCCACTCTTCACTTACTCCACGCGATATTGGCTGGTGGATGCACTCGTGTGTTTATCCTCAGCTGAGAACAGACTCGGGCTTTATACGCGCTCCGTCTGTCTTTGTGTGGAGCCATAGCTCTACTGTTATCTATGGTGGAGCATTTTTGTTTCACACGTCCGTCGTGTGCTTTATACGTGTTTCCGAATCAAGACAGTGCGCCAGGGCTTCGATCAAGGCTTGTGCTGCTTGTCGCGGTGTTGTGAATTTGTGATACGATTTTCTACTCGCCTATTTATCGCGTAGTTCGGCGGTGATTACAGCTAGCACAATTCACAGTTGTTACCATTTACACATTTTCTATACGGGGTGGCTTCCATTGGCTCAATCGCTGATCAGGTGAATCGTGGTGTTCTGTGATTATCGCTGAATGTTGCTCCTGTCTGGCCAGATTATTTCCTTTTCATAGATGTTTCACAAATGTCGCGTTGCACTGTCTGCAGGACGTGGGGGGGGGGGAAGGGATTGTTAGCATATGCACTGAATGCTTTGTCAGGGGGTTGGTGACATGATAATGTCTCGTATCCCGGTACTTTGGTCCATCTGTGCTGCTTTTGTCGTCTCGTCATTGGTGTAGGTTTTGTTTCGAGTATCGAGTACGTCCCGCTTTATTATAATCGGTTCGATGTCATGTCGCATGGCGGCCTGTTGTTTAACGCCGCATTGTTACAGACGTCAGACTCATTGTTTTGCCTCTGCTTCCTTTGCTTCACTTAGCTATACAAGGTGTTGTGCGAATACGCATATAACGTCGTAAGAAAATTATGCATGTCGATTTCCGTGGTGTCCGCTCTTTCAAAGGACACTATGAGCTGAATTTTTGTATTGTTTTAGAGACCATCTTGTATTTAACCGGATCAGTTGTTTTCTGCTGCCTCCCACATTATTCATACGCACATAATGGAATGGTTCTCTATTAGTGTGCTGTTTGTTGAATGGGGCATAATTTTCCACCAGGCGATCGTGTCAATCACAATCAATGCATGTGGGTGCCGTGGCATTGTGATTTGTGGATCAAAGTTGGGAAATGGGATCATAATTATTTGATTTTTCGAACTTGAAGCTGTATCAATAAAAATAAGTGAACGCCTCACTATGGTTATTGCTTCAAGAACACGAGGCGTGGCTACCTGGTTCTATGGTTTTACGTGATCGCCTGACGAGGTTGGTGTCTACTAGGACACGCCTGCAGCTTAAAATAACGTGTGCCGCACCGTCTACCACCCAGTGCACTGCACAAGTAATCAATCGGTTCGCGTTCCAGTTAGTCGGGTGTACCTGTAAGAATCTAGAGTCGGGTGCAGCGGGCTTTTTGAACCAGGCGATGGATGGTAGCGGTGTCACCGGGCTGTGTCAGTTGAAGTTCCGATGAGCCTTGTGTGGTTGAGTGTGTTGCCGTAGCGTAGCCGTATCATTTGATGGCCGGAAGTCAAGAAGTTATAAAGGTTGAGGGACTAATGACGTCATTTGATAACCGTGATAGGAATCGGAATGCTGACTTCAGTAAAGAAAACCTTGACTGGCTCACGTTGCCTAGCAACGGGTAAATGGCTGCTCTCACTAGCACGTTGCATAGCAACTGCTATCATTTAAATTTGATACTTCTGCTATCGAACAGGCAAAGCATTTGGCTACTTATATTTATGTTATCAAAATTGAAATTTGCTATGTGTATGACGCGATAATGCCTAGGTTTTAGCCTTTATTTTTATGTTTGTGAGTTTTGTGTTTAGTTAGTATGGGATGCGTTTGTGGAAAAGAAGTAGTCACTATTGGTGGCAAGAATTATGTGATAAGAGACAAAATAGGAGAGGGGTGAGTGTGAGTGCGTTGCCTGTGATAATTTTATGATTACCTTTTTATGTGTGAACATGACAAATATGCTGCTGATGCTTGATTGGTTTGAGTTGGCACAGCATGTAACAGAACCTTCACATGCCTGCATTAACTTGGTTAAAGCTGCTAACGTCAGTCGTCGCTCGTCAGTGTGTGGGGGCCCCGGGCTGGGAGTTGACTGGCCCCAATTGTCCAGGAAGACGGGACCAGCTTGAACTTCTTGCACATTGCAGTGAGATTTTTATTTCTGATTTTGAAGATTAAATTATACAAAACTTTCACCTGCCAAATGTTCAAATAAGTGTAATAAGTGTTTAATTTGAAATAATCTTTAATTGAAAAGTTCCCCAGGAAGTTAAAAAAGTCAGCCAAAGTCATGTAAGGTTGATGACCTTGACCTGACCTTTTTGATTGACTTTGACAGTTGACACTCACCCGAAATCATGGAACATACATAATTTCAGAGACTGTAATACCCAAAAATCCTGGAAAGTGGAAACACATGTGTAATGCATGCTGCAGTAACTTTTGATGCATCATCATCCTAACCTGGGAAACAGGTTGGGAGAAACAGGTTTTGAGAAACAGGTCAAATGTCAATTATGATTTGGGTTAAGGTCATGAAATTTTGGGGCTTGGTGTGAAATTTATCAACTCTTGGGAGTAGGGTAGGTACCCACTGTTTGTTTCTTTGTGATCTGCCTTGATTTATGCTAGTTACTCATGGTATATCCCAAATCAACAAGCCCTTATATGTAGCTGTGGTTTAAGTAACTTGTCCTTATAGCAACTGTGTTTTCCTCAAATCTGATTAATTTGACAAGATCTATTCTAGGTTATATATCTTTTATTACACCAACCGCTATTTTTGAACAACTTTGGAGGAAAATAGCATGTTTTGTGTTGCTGAACTTCTGTGAAATCGATTTAAAACTTCATTTAAATTTGTTATCTATGATCATTTCTTTTTTATGTTGCTGTAGATACTATCAAGCATTATTATTAGCTTCTATGTATTGGCAGAATCACAGTGGTACCTAGTAGCTACATATGCTGTTCATAGAAACTGCCCAGTGCCCACCAATGCACAACTAATTTATGATTTACATGTAGCACTGATATTGCTTTATGTAGCAGCACTCAGCACTGATCTATTTAACTTAATAAACTGGGACACCTCTGCTTTTCAGAGGCTTCAGCATTGTGAATCTGGTTGAAGACACAATCTATCACAAGACTTTTGCATTGAAGACACTGACATGTCACAGCAAAGCCGATCTAAAGGTAAGCCTAAAAAGATGCAGAACTGACTTAGGTAACTACTAGAAATGTATGTGTCAACTAAACTGTCAAACATTTTTGACACAGTGTCAAAAATGAAGAGGTTTGTGAGAAAGAGGATGCCATTAATGCTGATTGCTGATTAAAGTATGTGCCCACAGCCCAATGTCCAATCTATTGAGTTTCTTCATACAGAATGGGCCACAAAAGATCGATATCTAGCAGCGATATATCTTGGATCGGGAGTCGGACGGGTGCCAAACGATAGATATCTTGCCGGGAATAACTCAAAGGGCGATACTGGCGTCGGAGCACGCACCGTGAGATCGGAAAGTTTGTTGTAATTAGACATTTAGACAACATTTGATGTTTCGATTGATGTTGAAGTTGGCGAATTCACAGTTGTTTTTATCCAACATTTAATTTACCCGAGTAGTGGTCTGTCGAGCATGAATGCGCAATAGTAATCCTTGAATGGCGAATTTTTACCTCAGACCCTGTTCGACACGAAGCGGTAGTCGTATGTTCCGGAGCCGCCTATGACGGTAAAGTTTGACCGTACCCGATGCCAGAATGCTCAACCTAAGTCCGAATACCTACTAAACGGGTTTGAAGCCGTCCTGGGTTCGCATCCCAATTGGTGAAATGTACCATTGAATATCCCTGATTTCTAATTCATGGGGCGTGCTGTGATCTCGGTGGCACAATAATTTTGCTGTGATCGATAGCTAGCTTTGCACTCTTTTATTTACCGTGCTCCCCCTGACCACCGACGACCACCGACATCCTTTCTGTAAGTGTGCGTGACTCCTCACTGAGTGCCCCTCCATTTTCAGACGGCGCTACAGGAGGTAGCCTTCCACAAGCAGCTACACCACCCGGCCATCCTGCAGTGCCTCGGCTCTGAGGTCACGGGCGAGCCGGACATCGCGGCCAACGTCACCTGTGACGTCTATATTCTGCTGCCCTTCCTGCCCGTGAGTCCCCGGGCCCCCATAGATGCCGATGAGTGACAGCTGTCGTGGAAGTACGTCATGAAGACGACTTTTATGCAGTTACTTGCGTCTTGCAGTGATATGAAGTATATATTTGTGTTGCCACTCTTTGTCCCATCCTAATTCCCATGCCTTGTTCATTTTAAAAAGGAAGAAGGTGCAAAGAAGCCATATCTCTTCTGCCACAAATGGTCATGACTCATGACAGAGGAGCTCATATGAAATGTGAATAAGATTTAACCCATAGCGAAGGCCGTGCATTTCCTCTTGTCAGCTCCCTCCATCTAGGTACTCATATATGTGACTCCTTACTCACCCCCAGGGCGGCACGCTGCACGACGACCTGTTGTCTCGGGCGGCCGCTCGGCGCCACCTTGCCGAGCCGGAAGTGCTCCGTCTGTTCGCCGCCGTCTGCGAAGGCGTGCGCTCCATGCACGAGTCACAGCCGCCGCTGGCTCACCGTGACCTGAAGACGGCTAATGTGCTGCTGACGGCGGACAGACAGCCGGTTATCATGGACCTGGGTATGATGGACGGACGGACGGGAAGGGGCGGCATTGGGTGGGGTGGGGTTTCTTCCGGTTGTCATTGGGACTGAACACTTACAATATAACAGATGGAGCTGATCGGCCGGACAAAATATCACATAGGCAGAAAAAGTTCATATTCAACCGCCAAAAAGTAATTTACGACATTTCACAATTAGTGCTTAACACCAATTCCCCTTCATACATATAGCTGTGCGATAAGTCCGCAGCATTTTCTGGATTTCCCCCTACCACTTAGTCTATCCTACGTTGACCTGACCACCACCCTTCATTATATTTTCAGTCCACCCTCCCCACCGACCCCGCCCCTTTCCTCCCTCCCGTCTCAGCCTGACCGACCGTCTCCCTCTCCCGCCTCTCATCTCAGCCTGACCGTCCCCCGGCCCTCTCTCCGCCCAGGTTCGATGGCAGAGGCCCGGGTAGAAGTGGAGACGAGTGCGCAGGCGCGTCAGCTGCAGGATCTCTGCGCCGAGCGGTGCAGCATGCCCTACCGGGCGCCGGAGCTGTTCAACGTCCAGGCCGGCGATCGGATCGACGAGCGGACGGATATCTGGGTGAGGGCCAGGCGGGGAATGGACGGCTGTGCTATGGGAACTGAGGTCCGGGCGGGGGGAGAGGGGGGGGGGGGCTGAACGAGGACTGGAAGGGTGTCCTGTGAAAATCGAGGGCTGGACGGGGAATGGATAGGTGGCTACTGGCTTGTAACTTGTAAGAACTAAGGGCCGGGTAAGGGGCTGGACGGGCGTCTCAAGAAACGCCCTAGGACTAGGAACACTGAGGGCTGGGTGAGGACTGGGCCGTCTATCTCTGTGTCCTGGGGTGAGTGACGAGTTTTGAGTATCGCTCGCCCCCAGAAGCTTGCCTGTCTGCTGTATGTGTTCCGACGATCCCGAATCCAGTGACGAGTCACTCTCCCTCCTAAGAGTTTCGACTGTATGTGTTGTAAAAGATCCCCCACGCCCTTCCCAGAGCCTGGGCTGTCTGCTGTACGTGTTTGAAAGATCCCTCACCCCCTCCTCAGAGTCTCGGCGGTCTGATGTATGTGTTGTGAAAGATCTCCCACCCCTCCCCAGAGTCTGGGCTGTCTGCTGTACGCGCTTTGCTTCTTCAAGTCGCCGTTTGACGCGGCCTACGAGCGCGGTGACAGCGTGGCGCTGGCGGTGCTGGCCGGCACCGTTCACGTGCCAGAGGACTCGCCCTACTCACAGGTAAATACGATTATTGAACTGATGGGCTCCATCATATATATGTTGTCCTTTTGGTGTGTGTTTTACGTCAGGTGAGGTTTGAATAAATTCGGTAAGTCCGTGTCAATTTAAGTTTCGAGTAAGTTTCGTATTCCGTGTCATACAGATCAGAGTGAATATGTTGATCTCTGATAAAACAAATCGTTCTGTCTCGTTCAATCGAATTTGTTCTGTCTCTATCCCATTCTCTGGCTAATTAAACCCCGTATGTACACATAGCCTGTGGTATGCCTGCGGTAGCCCGCCGACTGACTCCCTCCCTGTCCGTCGCCCCGGCAGTCGCTCATCGACCTGATCCGTCACATGCTGTCCATCTCGGCGGTCGACCGGCCCTTCATCGGGGACGTGCTCCAGCTGACCCGCGCCGTGGCCTCCCAGCACGACGACCACGCCCAGCTCGACTCGGGACGCACCGTGGCCACGTGACACGCGCCGGCCGTAAGTGCGGCGGTCACGTGACCCGCGCCGGCTATGTGGGCTGCGGTCACGTGGCTCAAGTCTAGGAAATGTGCGGAACTCTAGTGATGCACACTGAAGAATTCGATGGTTTCCGGATGCCCTTGTGCGGTAATCATGAGACAGACGGCGGTGAAGCTTACGACAATGACGCGACTAGCCTGTTGATGGTGAGTGGAGATATCAGTAACGTTACCCGCAGCTGTATGACGGCGACAAGCACCGGTAATATTCCATGCAGTTTGCATAGTAATGGAGTCATCCCGACGGCTGAAGAACAAATAGACGTGGAGAGAAGAAACGGACAGGAAGCGAGGCAGCCAGGCTGTTACAGGAAGGGTATACTTACAACCGCAGTGTCATCGGGTACTGCCGTACGCTCTATGCATGCATCATGCATCTATCTTCTACGCAGTTCAAATTTGACGGCAGTTCAATGTCAACAAACTATGCAAACACTTCGGTGGGCTGATTGCAGCACAACGGTGTCATTTTGTGGCCTTTTACGTGTCCGTGTCTATGCATGTTGTTTTTGGAGCTAGGCTGGGTCGGAAATAATGCGTCCTGGTTATTCCTGTGTTTCGCTTCGCACAACAGTGTCCATCTATGCATGTGTTTGTGGCTTCAGTGACCAGAGGTGTCAGTGGATATTGGTCGTGTTCAGTTTGGGCTGGTGATTGTTTTTGGGGAATGGGTGTTCTCCAGATCGGGTCGTTTCGTAGTTCGATGTGTTGCCTTGTCCGTGTTCATACGTGTCGGGTAGCACACAGCATCGGCTCTTCCGACAATCAGAATCGAGCTACTTATTTTGTGAGCATTTACTGTCCGTGCCTCCGAGTTAAGTCCACATGTGATATTCCAGGTCGCCGTGCAATGCGTTCGTCTGGTTTAGTTGATCTAAATGTGGGAGATTTCCACTGGTGAGTCGTGTTGAACAAAATGTATCGCTTTACGCGAGTACCAGCGACCTAGCGCAAATGGGCTGAAACAGTCGAAATTTGTTCAGTTACCTGGTCCTTCCCTTGTTCATGCAGGTTTGCCTTGCCTCGTATTCATTTGAGGAAATATATGATTGTCAACATGGAAGTTTTGATAGGTGGCCCTTAGTGACACTGGCTTACATTCTGGTTTGGTAACCGAGTTACGGAATGAACCATTTGCACGCGAACAACATGCATTTTATTAAAAACGTATCAATGTTTTTCGACATGTAACTTGCCGATGGTTGCGTCTCGAATCATGAAACACTCGGACAAACAGTACCATTCGGACGATCGTCCTAAAACCATCAGTCAGCGTTAGCATCATCACAACTTCATCAGAATATGCTGCAACAACGAACATCGGACTAGGTCCCCGCACATATGGAAGGCAGTGACATGACTTCGCAAAACCATGAACTATTTAACACTGATGATTAATACCCAATGTCAGCCTATTCGAGATTAACTTTTTCACCTCTCCATTCTGGCCACCAGACACCTGCACCGGCACGTAGTTCGTTATTTCGACTTCGATACTATTTCAATTCGTAGGTATCTCAGTCCACTAATACCCTGAATTGAATACCCTGAATTGAAATATGTATCAAGTAGGTATTACTCTAAAAGCCATTTGTACTGTCTCTCCTCAACACACGATAGCGAAAGCCCTGACAACACTGTTCCACAATGCTCTTGCTACCCTCGTTCAGATGTACACTTTGAGCGCATCCTGGATGAACTCCCTGCACATGGGACACCGGCGGTCGCCGGCACCGACCTGCCGGCCGCACGGCTCGCACAGACACACGTGTCGGCACGGCAGCAGAATCACCGACTTGTCCTGGTCCAGGCAGACGACACAGGCGCGGGACGGGTCGGCGGCCGGCCGGCGGGACGGAGAGCTGCAGCCGGCCTTCTGCCGGAGCCGGCGGCGCGGCGCCACAACCGGCGGCGGGGTGGCACGCTCCAGCTCCCAGTCCTGCCGCTCCTGCTCCCAGTCCTGCTCCTGCTGCTCCCAGTCCTGCCGCTCGAGCTCCCAGTCCCGCTCCTGTCGCTCCAGTTCCGCCTGCTCCCGTGGCTCCAGCTCCGCGGCCGGGGCGACAGCCTGCTGTCCGCCGGCCACCCCCAGCCGAAGTCCCAGCGTCACATTCTGAAAGAACGCGTGCACCCCTCGGGTGACGATCTCAGCCGCTGCGAGTAACACAGCCACAGAGAGGCGGCAGACGGCGGCCGCCGCGCGCAGCCCGTCCGACGCCCCTCGCGTGCCTCTGTCGGCCGCGCGCACCAGGCGCTCCGCCAGCGGGCGGGTGCCGCGCCACGCTCGGACACTGGCCGCGGCCGAGACGCGCCGGCCGGCGGTCACCAGTCGGCCGGCGGTGTGGCGCAGCTGTACCAGCGGCGGTCCGCGCGCGGAGACCAGCCGCGCCAGCCGCCGGACGGCCAGCAGCGCCAGCACGAGCAGCGCGGCGCCCAGCACGGCTGCCAGCGGCACGGCGCGCGCGCCGTCCACCACACCGAGCACCGCGCGCCATATGGCGTCCGCCGCGCCGGCGCACACCGCCAGGCACCGGCACAGCAGCCCTACCAGCATGCTCTCCAGCAGAGTGAAGCAGCGCACCACGCCGGCCACCAGTCCGTACGGCACCATCGTCAGCAGGTAGATGGTGGTGTGGTACAGCAGCACCACACTGCGGACGCCGGTGACGACCAAACCGGACACGGCGGCCCACACGGCCGAGACCGCCCCCAGCACGGCGCGGACCAGCCCCAGGACAGCACCGAGCACCGCGCCGACTCCATCCCCGAGCGCAGTGAACACCCGCCCGACGGCGAGCGCCAGCTCCGTCACCGCAGCCGCCGTCAGTTCGGCCAGCACCGTCACCGCGTCACCGATGTCGGCCACGAAGGCGGCGAGGTCGGCCAGCAGGATACCGGCGGCGTCCCGCAGCCGGGCGAGCACCAGCAGCAGGCCGTCGGCGAGCACGGCCAGCGCCGCCACCAGCCGGGCCGCCAGCGCATTGTTGAGCCGCAGCACCAGGGCGACCAGCGAGCCCAGCCCGTCCACGGCCGCGGCCAGCTGCCGACAGCCGGCCGACGCCACCGATAGCGGCGACATCTGGAACACACGACACAGGTCAGTCGGCTGTGGCTGTAATGCTACATGAATAAATCCAATAGGATATTACAATTAATTGATAAATGTTTAATTCTTCGATCGTTGATAAAATGTTTGAATGCTCTCTAAACAAGAATTGAAAGAGTTATTGAACAAAACTTATCTCACCAGCAGCTTAAGTGTTAGCTGAGACCAGCTGCAGCTATTAGACATTGCGCTCAAATTATGCAGTGTCTCCTTTGACACTGAAGTCCAGAGTGCACTGTGCAGTCTGCTTATAGGCTAATAGTGAAAAAGAAAACTATGAAAGTAATGAACTAAATTCTATTACATGAAGTAATTCAAAGCAAACTAGGAAAAAAGTTTTTAAAATATTAAAAATAAATTTCAATATTAACAACAAATGTATTAAAGAAAGCCATATCTGACTTCTGAGACTATCTGCACATGGGGGACATACATGCTTCCAATAGAGGTCCTTTAGCTTAATAAATAACAACTATCACTTCCTTATGACTTGAGATTAGATGTAACAAATCAATCACACTTGTTTCATTCAGGAAAGTTGTTGAGTTTTCTATCCAGGTGAGGAACACTGTAAAACTGCACTAATTTATTGCTGAGGAAAGAGGCCAGTTCCACACCTGGCAGGATACTCTGCTGGGTGTGACATTACACCTCTGGTGACGACTGCCGTTGCAGCCTTCCAATGGCACAATATTTTGTGAAATACTGACCTGACACCTAACAGTATATTCTGCCAGGCCGAAAGACAAGGAAATCATTGACCATGAATGTGAACCAATTTCACACACAAAAAAAGCACTAAAATACAACACAGCACAGCAACTCAGGTCTTTCTCAAATATACTTAGGTACTGTCTGAAAGGGGTAACTAACCAATTCACGCTATTGCTTCATAACTACAAGGAAAAACTCGACCTCAACTGACTTGACCTCAACTGCTTTGTGCGCCACATTGATAAGATAGGTAGCAAAACAATCAAAATCATGAAAGCATCATGTCATATGCAGAGTGGAAGAATATTATTTTGTGACACATACTTCTGAAACTCAGTCTTTGACTCCTATGAGGCAGGTGATGATGCCTACTGGGCATGCATCATGAAATAACAACTCATATTTCCCTATGAAACAGAACAGGCCTCTGCTGTTACGCTGTAGGTCAAGGTGGAGCAGTCAAATTGAAATTGAAATGCTCCGAATCCAAATGGCTCCCCTGCATTGGCGGCGGAACGGGGAGGGCACCGGGGGGTATTAGTAGGGGCATTCCACGTCAAATCAAACACCGAAATCCGTCATCCCCTTCGATTTTTCTGAAAATTTGTAGGCAGACTGGGCATGGTTCAAAACTGAGTTACGTATAATATTTTCGAAATTTGATAACGTATCGCTGAGATATAGGTCATCGAATATAGCGAAAAATGCCACACATCAATTTTTTAAATGGCTATAACTCTGGTTCCTTTTCTGGTATCAAAATGATATTAACAGGGTCTTATAGGCAATTGATAAAGCTTTGCTTTTTAATTATAAAATTAAATTGAAGTGACCTTGAAATGCATTTGACCTTGAATTAAAACAGAAAAATTTAAATAGCAAAAAACACGTCACCTTCGATTTAGGTAATTTTTACATATTATGTCCGTCACAATGTTCCTAACCATCTGTGAAAAAATTGGAGTGGGCCATTCATAACTTTCGCGGCAAACGCCGTTTTCATGCATCAACATCACGCAACCGCGCGTGACCTTGAAAGACAGAGTCAAGACATGCTTGCTTGTGTACAACTGTACACTTTCTGAAATGAATGATTGCTGATTAGTGATATCCCAAACTCTGCGAGAATGGAAATGCATAGTCATCGTAGTCAAACATTTACGTTCCATAGTAAAAGTGTCTCAGGCAAACGGTATTTTGCGGTGAATTTTGAGCTGTGTGGAAATGCATCATGAAGTAAATTCAACGAAAACATTATCACCCAACGATATCTTCACGTCTTTTGATCTTCACTATACGAAAGAACATACATTTTTAGTATGTATGGGGAATTTCTAGTTAATCCAATAATAAATATGGCAGTTAGAGCCGAGGCCCGCTAAGAGTAACATGTCGCCGGCTGAGGCGGGCTCGGCCGATACGGGAAACGCAGCAATCACAATTTTGTGTTTACACGTTCATATTTCAATTGTTTACCAACCGATTTTCAAAATTCTTTCACCATAAGATTGCCTGTACATTTCTTAGTCTTCTCACAAAATTTGACGCGAATCGAACGTAATCAGCGGTAGGGAGCGCGATGTAAAGACGGAACCCACAGTCTACAAATTCAGGCGGCGCGTAGCGGTCGGCGCCGGTTGCCGAGTCGCCGCGTCGCTGCCGCGACAGGATGTTCACTTTACACCGCTATTACTAGAACAGTTGTGAACCGATTTTCTTATTGCTTGCACGATGAGATGTCCAATTCAATTCTTGACAGGTAGCCATAATTAATTTTGCATTAATCTTATGAGATATTGGCGAAAAACAGGAGGGGTGGGCGAAATTCGCTCTCCCCCCTCCACTGCGCGTGCTAACATACGTTTGCATATGTGCAATTTTCTTCAAAACTTATGAATGGCCCACTCTAATTTTTTCACAGGTTGTTAAGAATATGGTAGGCAATAAAATATATGAAAATTAGCCAAATCGAAGGTGACGTGTTTTTTGCTATTTCAATATTTGTGCTTAAGAACAGAGTTAAGCAAATTTCAAGGTCATATATTTAAGTAGGTGCAATTCTAAACAAATGCTTAAGAAATTACCTAAGCAGTAAGGTTTATTTCATTCAAATCAAACAAGTACAACCAAAGTTATGGTCGTTGAAAAATATAAAGATGCAACATTTTGTAAAAAATTTGATGCCCTATATTTAGAAGACCTGTGGTCAGAATGTGCAAAAAACATCAATGTAATGTCCGGGGCCACACAGGAACTCGCTCACAAATTTATAATGAAATCGCTGATGGTAAGGTGCAAAACACCCGATTTTTGTTCAATTTGACGTGGAATGCCCCAGTATATATTAGGTCAGAGTGGACAATTGTGACGCTGTTGATACAAATATGTAACAGCAAAAAATTTAGGTTTTAGGTTAGGTTAGGTTGTAGGTTTGTAGGTTTTAGGTTTTAGGTTGGTAGGTTTGTAGGTTAGGTTAGGTTAGGTTGTAGGTTTGTAGGTTGTAGGTTGGTAGGTTGTAGGTAAATAGGTAAGGTTAGGTCAGGTTTGATTATGTTTTTTCTTTTATTTCCAAGACATATAAGTATCATTTTTTGATTCAGGATGTCAAATAATGGGTAAATGTCAAGTTTAAGTCCTAAGAAGATTTCATTGATAAATTTTTCATATTTTTACATTATTTGACATCCTGAATCCAAAAATGATACTCATATGTCTCACAAATAAAAGAAAAAACATAACCAAACCTGACCTAACCTTACCTACTTACCTATAACCTACCAACCTACAACCTACAAACCTACCCTAACCTAACCTAACCTACAAACCTACCTACCTACAACCTAAAACCTACAAACCTACAACCTAACCTAACCTAAAACCTTAAATTTTTGCTGTTTCATATTCGTATCAAAAGCGCCACGATTGTAGTTAGGACCTAAACTTGACATATACCAAATAATGTAAGAATATGAAAACTTTATCTTTTAACAGTCACTCGGACTCAATGTATACTTTTACCCACCGGGGCACCGTGCCCCCCTTTGATTTTGGCATTTTAACATTAGCCCTATGGGCGGGGCGTTGCATGGAAAGAATGGGACCAAAAGTCGGCAGTGCCCCCCTTAATTGAGGCCCGACTGGAAAAAATGCCTCCACTACGCTGAAGTTCTCGGCGGAGGTGATGCGCCGAAATTTCGGCGCAAGGGTTTATGCGCCAAAATTATTTTACCAAGCCATGCTTCATGCGCCGAAAATTTTCAAGGCTTACTGATGGCTGCAGGCTGTAGCCACGCACTTTTCGTCGAGGGGGGGGGGGCTGGCGTGTGTGTGTGGCTGTCTTCCAGTGACTACTGTCTACAGACGGTTGTTGGCATGGTCGACGGGATCGGGCAGACAATAGACATCAGCAGGCCATGCGGAACCGAGCACCAGCGTTCGCTATCACAAAATCTCCTGACTCACAAACTCACTGGCATGTTCCATAACGTAACCTTTATTTGGTTGCCCGGCTCTGATCAGCAGTAGTGCCCAGCCGGTGACTGACGCCTGACGGGGCCTTCAACAGGCGTGGTGCAAGCACGGCCTATGGGATCGGGCAGATACCAGGCCACGCGGGACCGATTGCCAGCGTCCGCTCGCAAACCACACGCCGGAAATACAGGAATCACAACGGTCAATACGCACACGATAGCATACGTTATCTGAACTAGGGAATCCGACAATCCATAACCTCACTCTCGATCGGTGAACTGTTCCCGCCGTGGGAGAGTCACAATCAGGTTCACTGAGCATGAAAATATTAAATCATATCATATTAAATCACCCTGAAAATATAAAATACCCTAAAAAATAAAGGCGCAAGCCGTCGATTTACGCCGAAGTACGCCGAAAATTTCGGCGCAAGCCGTCGATTTACGCCGAAGTACGCCGAAAATTTTCGGCGCAAACGCCCAACTACGCTCGAGTTCTCGACGAAAGCGTGCATTTTTTCCAGTCGGGAATTGAGGGTGTTCCACCGCTGCTGCTCCCCTGGGCCCTGGACCCTGGATGTGTCAGTGAACATTACTCAGGTTTGGTATAACTCAAACTACCTATATTATTATATGTTACATTCAAATGCGTAAGACGACTGTTGAAGCATCTGCAAAAGATTACAATTGAATTCAAATTGTTTTGGGCATAGAATGTGTAATCGCCTTTGACTCCTTGGTGATTGTGATCCAAGGAAGACTCCAAAGGTGTCAGTGTCTTCCTTGGTGCCATCAATGACAACAAGTGATCCTAACATTCAAATACCCACCTGCACACTTGCCTATCTCAATATATTTGTGACAGCATACCAATACGATTCGCAATTGAGGAATTTCTTTACGCATAAATCAAAATACGTCTGATACGCCTCTGAGCACAACCCACAACAACTTTTTTCCATTTGATTTCAAACCTCAAAGGACGCATGGTGTGTTCGAATAACTTACAATCGTCGCGTATAGACGACTGCGGAGCGTCCTGACGAATCAAATGTGTTTGTTGTCATTTGTTTCCACGACAACTTGCCATGATTTGTAATTTGAACACGTTTTTTGTGCTCGTGCGGGACGCATGTTTTTTAATCCCAGTCAGAAATGACAAACAAAGCCTTTGCGGGATGCAATCTTTATGCGTCAAAATGCACTTATTTTGTACTATTTTTGCTGTGCTAGAACTACTCAAATGTTAACCCTCGCCCGTATCCCAGCCAGCAATTCCCTTGGGCTGAACTGTGGCAAACGTCGGGCAGCTTGGGCTTAGCTTGGGTTTGCCCACTTTGATCAAAACCAATGTATTTTTTACTAGGGCTGAGCTTGGGCATGCCGCAGCTATGCCCACGTGCGGCTAGCAGTAGCTCAGCCCGACATCTGCCCGCGCATCCAAAACAGGCTTAGCTTGGGCGGAGCGCGGGCTGATCAAGCTGGCTGTGTCCTTCGGCTAACTGGAGTAAAGCCGGAGTTTAGCCATACTTGTTCGGCTGTTCGCGCATGCGGAGTTCTGCGCCAATCATGTGCAGCGTTTGTGACAGTCTGCGCGCTGTGCGACGAAACGACACACCGGTGTTGGGGCATTTGGTGGTTGATGTTTGGGCGCGTGTGACAGCGCGAAGAAGGGATAGTGCTCATTGCTCTTATCAAGTGGACTGGCATGGAGTTTTACGGTAGGCCTAATTGTATTGAATGGTGCGCTTGATCGTATGTAAACGTCATTATTTTGACTGAGTTTCACGCCATCAAACATGAAGCTGAATAGCTGTTCAGCCTGGCGACTTATACCCTCGCTCAGAAAAGCCGCATTCCGTGCCTTTATGTAGGTATATCTTTGTGAAATACCAGCACTTCTGAACCAGGAAAATGAAATACAAAACACAAGTATTTATCTACTTATCACGGAGCACGCTCATTCTCTGTCCGCGTTAAAAATCGAATGAACATTTTATACGGATCAATGAGAAGTGCTGTTACAGTATTAACCCGCGCACCGACGGGGGTCTGCACCAACTTCGCACCGACGGGGGGGGGCGGATGACCGCCCCCCCCCCCCTGAGATCTCGAGAACGAAGCAAGATAGCGACAAGCGGTAAACGGCGTCGGATACGCACGGACAAGGTCTACAATTTTTACAAAGGTCATTTTCAGGTCAGGTCAAAGATGACGTCACAGGGGTCGAAAAAGTCAAAATGGCGGCGCTAGATATGGAGAGAGTTTTTCTCGAATAACTTTCGAATTAGTCAAGATAGGAACAAACTAAGGGCATCATCGTGATCCTCTCGTCAATCCGCATCGAATGATATATATGTTGACCTCGAAAGGTCAAGGTCAAAGGTTGACCTCAGGTCACGTGACCTCGAGGTCATCATGTATATCATTCGATGCGTCTTGACGAGCTGAACACAATGACCCAGCTAACAATTTGCCGTTGTTACAACGTCGTTTAAACGTTGTCAAATGGTTACCACAACGTCCCGATTTATCGTTGTGACAACGTAATTTTGTAGACTCCAGACAACGGCGTGACAACGTCATCCGACCATGCATTTGAATGTCATCACAACGTTTCTGTAACGTGGCCGTGACGTCCCAAAACTGTTCTTACAACGTCCCGCCAACGTTATGAAATGTTTTCTGTAACGTACCAACAGTGTTTCTGGAACGTTATCACCACGTTTCCGCAACGTGACTACAGGGAGTATAGAACGCTTTGGCAACGTCTCTGCGACATTTTTATCACGTGCGCACCACGCTGTCGCTACTTCGTATTGCCGTCCCTGCGACCCCGAGTAAACATCCTAAACATTTTCGCAACGCCCTCTCAACGTGTTCGCAACATACTCAGAATGTGTTTCCGACGCTCTCTTCCCGTTCTCTAGACTTGTAAAAAAGGCATGTAAGAAGTGTATATTTCAATACATCACACAGGTCAATTTACAAAAAAAAAACGACGGCGGCGGCATCGGTGATGGGGCATGGGGCCCAGGGCCCAGGGGCGCCCCCATAGGGGCGTGGGACGGAATTGGGTTCTACCGGCTCTGGCGCTAGCCGCTAGCACGCCAGAACTGGTGGAAGTTCACTTCTTCACTAACCCTCGCTGGGAGGATGAGGATCACTCGGCGGACCGTTAGGCACCGGCTCATTTGCGGCCTCGATGTCCCTAGGCAGCTGGCAGTGCTTGACTAGACGGTCTGTGATGTTCCGGTCGCAGCTTCCAGACAGCCACTTCGCTACTGCATTGCCGACAGTAGGCCTGCCACAAGGCGCGCTGACGAGTTGCACGACGTCTGCGGGAAGACATGAGGGAAAATCAGACATTCAATTCATGAGAAAAAAAAATCACAAAAATACCTGCACAACTTTCCGTAACAGTGCGACAGGCTAGATCAAAAATGTCAACACCTTAGAGGCTAGAGCTACAATGAACTATAGCCTAGACCGCACGATATTACAAGGCACAATCTTGCAAATGCTACTCGTAAATGGTACTTTGACTTACCAGTCAAAGCAACAATCGCATCAAACGCAGACAACTGGCGCTATCTTTCATCTTCCAGCTATCTCAGCCGCGCCCGCCGCCGGCCCTCACTGCTCGCTCGCGCCGCGTAGACTGCGGCTCGGCCGGCTGGCTCTGAACGCCGGCCGGTGACACTGACGTCACGGCCCCTCAGGCGAGGTCAGGGCGCGAGCCACCGTTCGCCTGAGTGGCGGCCCGCGTGGCTTGCTGGCAGCCGCGGATAACAGCCGCGTTTGCATAGGGATAGTTGCAAGCCTCTAGCTCCGCCTGTGATGTTGCAAAACATGCCAATGACGCTTTGCAGTTTACACATGTTATATATATATATATATATATATATATATATATATATATATATATATATATATATATATATATATATATATATATATATATATATTAGAGAGAGATAGAGAGAGAAAGGTATCAGAATTTACTTGTAAAAACACCGCTAATTATTCAGTACCTATAATGTCAAGGTTGTGAAAAACCGTTTTAACAACGTGTTGGCGACCACCAGCTGACAACGTGAACAGTCCAAGTGTTAAAATATGTCAAATTTAACGATGAAAACTGAATATGCGCATTGAAAGTCAAAGGAAATGCATTATATGGCCATATATGTCACCATGCATTATCAAAAAATAATGCTTCAAGTGCGCGGTTGCTGCAACGTACCAATAAAACGTTGTCACGACGTTTTACCACGACTTTCGGACCAAACCATGGCTTCACAACGTTCAGAACGTTGCTACAACGTAATTAAAACGTAATTTCGCAACTTACCGAAACACGACGTTGTGACAACGTGGTAGTAACGTTTCCTGTTAGCTGGGGAGGCCATCCGCGCGGCTGTATCTTGTTCCTGTACGGAGTTATTGGCAAAAAACCGCTGGTGACCTTTGATGACGTCACATGACCTTACCATAGGCGTAGGAACGTTTTCGAAAGTGGGGGGGCCAAGGTCCCAGAGGTCCAAAACCTAACCTACCCCCAAAATCCGATTTATCCTCGGATTTCGGCCACTTTGTTTTCGCAAACATGATCAGAGATAAAAAAATCGAGACAAAAACAAAAACAAAATTGGTTAAAATTTCAGGGAGACTCCCGTCCATAAACTCAAACTGATGGACGCGTTCCCCTGTCCTCCGCAGCCGTTGGCACCCACGCAAATTCCAGAGGCATCCAGCAACTTTTTCATTACGAGCAAGCGTGAAACGTGCAAAGCGAGTCTTTTCAATATACCTATAAAAATCAGCATGAACGGCCCAGCTAGGCTCAGCCAGACCTATAACGTTTTTAAGAGGTTTTATATCAGCGACCACTGCAACTGGGCTGATTGACTATCAGAGGCCGGAGTGGGACTTTTAGAGGTCGGTCTGGGCCATCAGAGGCCAGTTTAACCCTCGCCGGACCGGACCTATAGGTTTTCTACATACGCGCCGGCCGAGGGGGCGGGGGCCGGGTACGACCCCCCTCGCCGTTGCGCCCCAGGTTGAGCTAGCGCGTCGCGGAAAAACGAGCGTGTGCGCCGTTACAAGACGCAGAGATCGATACCCGATTTTAAGGTTCTAGGTCAACCGGTGACCTCTGAGGTCAGGTCAAGTGCCTCAAGGCACGGTTCCGTTTTTGGTGAATAACTTCGCAAAAAACGGCCGCAGAGCCGCGATTTTGCCAGCATCGTGTTCGCCTCTCTCAGGCGTGTCGACTGGTGTACTTTTTGTTTGGGTGAGGTAAACTGAGGGTGTTGACCACGGGTCACGGTCAGGTCAGCGCCCCCAGGTCACGAAATTGGTCGAAGGAGGTCATGTCGCATATCATTCGATTCGGCAGGTCTTTCTGAGTCCATTGATGGCTTCCCCGACTCGCTAGCTCAATTTGATCGGTAGTTATTGACGACAAACTTATATGACCCTTATAACTTCATAAATGACGTCGCGCAAGGTCAACATTGCAAAAGTGACGCATCGAACCTTGCAAGGAGTGCATGAAAGATTCAGTGTGCTTGAGATAGTTGAAGATCGTTTACGGCGCCAGAAAAAGTTTTCAGTTTATCCCCATTGACTTATACCAAATGGTGAGGTCACGAAAATGACCTTAGGAAAAATCCGAGATGTACAAGTTGTGAGACTCCTAATGGATACTAGGTCCTCTACGGTTCATTTCCCTGTGAAATCTCCTCTGGCAGTGAGGGCGTTGCGAAGTTGCGACATCTGAAGACCGTGCAGAGGTTCACTTATGACGTCATGGGTCAGTGACCTGATCTGACCCGAAAATGCGGTTGGTGTCAAAAGATCCGGCTTGATTCAAAGGTCAGGTATGCAAAGCTTCAGCTCTCTATCACCGGCGTGTTCGGAGCTATCGCGAAAAAAAAAAACTATGGAGGGGCGGCACCCGCCCCCCCCCCCCATCGAGCGGTGAGGGTTGAGGCTCTCAGAGACCAGTACAGGGCCTGCAAAGGGCAGGATGAGACATTTAGATGCCGACTTGGGCCATCAGAGGCTAATGTAGG